TTAACGTATTTAGTTGTGTTAAGGTAATTGGTGTATTTATTTTGGCCTGTACCACCCTTGATTAAAATGAGGAGTAGGATAACATGTGTGGAAAACAAAACAAAACAAAACACTATCCTGAATGTCACAAGACCTGGCTCCTACTTCCGTGACTTTCAGCTTTTCTGGGCATCCTAAAAGAATGAGGCTTTTTTTTTCATTCACTAAATGGTTTTTGTTTTGTTTTTAGAGGAGCTGATTTTAAGCCCAGCTGTGTCCTGATTTTAATTACTGACCTCACTATTTTTTTTTTTTTTTTTTTTTTTTTGGTGCTGGGTGAAAAGATAGCCTGAGGGAATTTAGAAAAAATTCCATACCCTTGAGCTCTTGAGCCACTGAGAACATTATGAGCTAGGGAGGGAGAAAATGCACAGGTTTCTGAGATGACAACAGAAAATACAGCACATTGATTGTATTTTTTTTTACATTAATGAAATCTTGTACTCAGCTGAGGAAGAAGGAGTGACAGCTAAGAGCTTGGGTTTGGATCCCAGTTATGGGTTTTAAATCCTGGTTCTGCCATTTACTTAGCTGAGATATGGGGCAAGTAATTTAATCTCCCTGAGCTTCAGTTTCCTCGTTGGGAAAACCCACCGAATTGCAGGAAAGATTGAATAGAATAATAGGTATAAAAAAAAAATCCTAGTGCTGTGAGCTGACAGTAACAGTAGCTTTTGTCACTGTGGGTGTTTACCTGAACCATATCTACATGGATGTGGGAGAACAGGTAATGTTTACCTTGCCAAAAAAAAAAAAAAAAAAAAGCTCTTTTGATTCTATTGTTACATTTCACCACACTTTATTATAATTATTTGCTTAACATCTGACTATTCCCGCTAGATGTAAGATCCTTGAGAAAGGAGCTATTTGTGTCTCATCCACCCCGAAACACACAATTAGTACAAGGCTGAGCTGGTCGTTTCTGTGGAAGCAGCCAGGGCAGGGTCACCAGCTCCTTGTGGATGGCAGATCAGGTGGTAACAGGCGGTTTGAGTGCAAAGAAGAGAAAAACAGGAGGTGAGAATAACTAGTAGGTGTTCCTCAACCCATTCCCTCAGGATGTCTGAGAAGGTAACAGGGCTGAAATAGGAGGTGAAATATGCGAGGCCTCAGAATCACAGTTTCCCAGGGGTGGGCTGGTCCTTGTTCTCCCCTTGTGGAGGGAGAGGTGTGCGCAGCAGCCCGGAGCCCCAGGCCCAGCCAGGCGGGTGAGAACAATAGTTCATCCAATAGTTCAGAGGACATTTTAACGCCTTTGAGCTTTATGGTTCTTTTTGGGGAACATTTTAAGTGAGTAATCTGTGTTTTAATGTCTCCGTAGGCAAGTACGTTTTTCCCCTATTACTCACTTGCTAAATTTGCATTCAATTACATACATGAACTACAGTCCTAGAGGCAGCTTTGGTTAGTTCTGCCAGCTGAGCAGAATTTCTGAGAGTAGCTCCAGAAACAAAGTTCCCTCCTCACCCTGATGCTCATGGATCTACCTGGTGTTAAGCAGATTTATAGCCTTTCCGAGGAATGAAGACATCTTGGCAATTGGAACAGCTCATTAAAGAGGCCACACAATGAGGGGGAAGCTGGTCTAGGGCCAGGAGGATATTGTTAACAAAAGGAAGACCTGCAACAGATGGCCTGAAATTGGATCGGCTTCGAAGGTGTTGAAGTCAGCTTCTGAGCATGACCGAAAACAAAGACAGACTTCCAGGCAGAGACGAAGTTTCCCGGCCAGGGTGAAGGAGGTGAGCTACAAGACAGATCCGAGTGGATGTTACAATGTAGTGCTGTCTCTCAGCCGCGTCTTTCAGTAATGGAAGTCCGTTTCTGCCAGACCAAGCACACTGCTTAGGTGTCAATTCAAGTAACTGTTGAATAAGCCCACTACACCTGTCTTCTAACTGAATGAAGAAAAAGTCTCTGAAAAAGAACCAAGGCACACAAGCCCTCACATTGGAATTATTAAAAATGATCGGTATAGACGTGGAGTCTCTTAAAGACTTGAACTCTAAACTGGTACTACTATGGATTATACGTTTGTCTTCCACAAAAATCACAAAGAATTCGAATGAAAATGATCACTTCCTTGGCATAGAGTCTGTATTTAGTGACTTAGAGAAAATTAAAATATGTTTAAAACAGGAATAAGAAAACCAATTTTAATGTAAGCCAAACTCATCGTTCTTAAATCCCTTCAGAATGTTTCGGGATGCTTAAGTACACACAAAGACTCACTGCCTGACATTTGAACTGCCTGGGTAATTTATCCTCTAATTTGTAACAACACCAGGTACATGTTTCCATGCTCTTTTGAATCCTAGTGCTGAGCTGTGGCGTATGATTTCTTCCACCTTCACTTCTAACTGATCACTAGTAATAGTTAGAGACTTACTTTTCATCAGCCATGGCACGGGGTACTAGCCTCCTATTTTAGAGAACTATATTGTTTAAGAGAAATCTCAGACTCTTTCTTCCAGGGTTATTTAAATGAAGTTTCAGGAGAGAAGACAACCTAAATTCTAGCGGGGGGGTGGGGTGGGGGCAGGGGGAAATAGAAAAAAACAAAGTAGCACTAAATTGTAACCTTACAATCATGTCCTTCCAGCGGAAAATTTCCCTGTGCTCACACCTTTAGCTGTGTTCTGACCCGGCTTCCTACAGGTTTTTAGCAGCTTGGCACTCTGCTTGTTTTATTTGCACAATCTTGTTCAAACAGCATAAAAGCAGGGCTGATGTGGAAATCCAGGACATCCTTTTTAGATGTGTAACATATTCAATGAAGGCATCTTTTATAAAACTGCCACTTCAACACTCTCGATCGGGCCAGCTCGCTTGTTTTTCACCTGTGCACGTACGTCTCTCTTCAGTCCTCTTTGGACTGTTTACTTTGTGCCGCCTGAAGGTGTTTTGCTCTGCACACAGCACCCTTCTGTGTCTGCCATGACGGCTGATGGTGCCGGTGGAAGTTTCTCGGTTCCCAGACCCTCCTCAGGACTTCCTTGCTTCAGCTACCACCTTCATTTCCCAGGAAAAGCAACACAAGAGTCAGAAAAGGAGGGATCCCAGGGCAGCATGCGTTGCGTACACCCGTCCCTCCCCGTTGCCAATGCAGGCCATGAAATTGCCTGTATAGTCAGATCCGAAAGTAGGCAGTAAGTCCCCAGTCTTGTGTCAGTGTTGCTTCCTGCTTCATGAGCTGGTGGCCAGAGCCACGCTGCTACACTGTCCCCCGCTGCTGGACGCCCGGTCCACGCCGGAAGTCCTGCCCAGCCTGCAGAGCAGCGCGGCATGAAGGAAGAGAAGAGACAAAGCTCAGGGCAGGCGCAGGCTAGCCGCTGCCAAGATCGTGGTGCGGCCTGGATGCAATCCTGGCCCTGGCCCAGCGCCTGGTCCGGGGCGGGGAGGGGGCTGCGCTGGCCGGGGAGCCAACCTCCGCCTGTCGTTTACCCTCACTGCTTGCTTCCCTTTTTCAGCGCCTCTGCGCTTTCTGTATGATAAGACCCTTCCCACTGTGACTTCATTTTACCATGAAAAGCACCCTTTGGTAGGCAGTGGCAGGCATCGATTTTGTACCCTGACAATGGCAGTCTCGGGGCCAAAAGAGGTTTGGGAAACTTCTTTATTAAAAACAACAACTACTCGTAAAGAATAGGATAGGCAGGCGGGAGGAGACACAGAGCCCCTGAGGCCGGGGTCTGCTTTGGCGTCCCCCATTCCTTTCACTGGGCGAATGCTCCTCCCCCAAGAGGATTTCCTGGAGCCGCCGCCCCCCGCGTGGTTCCCCACACTTGTTCTCAGTGGCATTATGTGCACCCGTGTATGGTGACCTTCCCAAAGCAGGAGCTGTCTTGTTGACCTTTGCATTGATTCCAATCATCAGCAGAGATGGGCTACTGTCTAGGAGACGCTTAATAGCGATTTATCAGCAACCTTTTATGGGCACCGTAGCGGAGGGAAATCTTTTTTTTTTCCCCTCTAATCACCTACATTCTTCTCCACTGGGGGCCCTGTAAACAAAACTGACAACAGACATTAACAAGAGAAAAATAAACAGAAGCTTATTAACATACACATCACACATCCCCAAGGGCGTACTCAGTGATGAGGATCTCAAAGGAGTGGCTAGAACTTGGGCTTATATAGCATCTTAATAAATTTGTAGAAAAGTAATAAGACGAAGGAAAAGGACTTTGAGTCTCTTGGGTGGCCAGTTATGGGAAGGCAGATGCAGGGGGGAACTGGTGGCAGGTGAGTGCTAGTTAGTAAAGTTTGTTCCATGGATTCTCTGGTGATTAACTGCTCTCCGTCCTGGTAGAGAAGGAGGGGGCACCTTTATATGCTTATCTACTGCTTTTAGGCAAATGCAGGGAGGAGGAGAGCTTTTCTTATATCTGCTGCTTGTCCATTGTCTTCAGCTCAAAATAATCCTTAGGCCGAGGAGGCATGTTTGGAGGTGGCGTATTCTGCCCGGCTTCAGCCCCTTGCATGTGATTTGTACATAGCAGGTGCTTAATAAACGTTTAAGGAATTGAACTCCAGTGACCGCAAAGGCAATCTTCCCTTTTCTATCTGGAGCCTGCCTAAATAATTCACCCTGCACGGCAGAGTAAATGGGCAGAGCGCTTGGTGAGGCTCGGGCAGCGCCCAGGGGCAAGGTGCCATGCGGGCCAGGGCCCAGGCTGGAAGTGGCCTGCTCACTTCCGTTTGCCTGCAGGGTACCCTCATTTTCCTCCTGGGATGCTGGCGATGTGCGCTCAAGTGATGGATAGGAAAACATGGGAGAGGAGTTTAAAGCCTTACATGGATACAAGGTGTTATTGCTTCCTGTTATTGCTTCCTGCACCAGCTCTGAGAGCAAGAAATTATAATGGGCGTTCAGTGGAAGTGGGCTGCTGGTGTTCCACGCAGTTTACCTCTCCCCCCTTGCAAGGGAGCTGTAATGCCTGTGTGACACTTCCTCACAGGTACGAATTGGGAGCCGCTCTGTTCATTGGATGGTCGGGAGCCTCGCTCTGCATAATTGGTGGCGTCATATTTTGCTTTTCAATAGCGGACAACAACAAAACACCCAGGTACGAAAAACAAAACAAAACCCCAAATGACCTGTTGAAAAGTATGGTACTGTTCCAAATTACTACATGCGGGGCAAACGGTAGTTCATGATTCTTAGAAACTTCAAATATCCAGAACTGGGAAAGGGTAGGAATGTACGATAAGTCTAATATTCAACACAGTAAATACTATATTGAATATATTTCATTATAGTTCATTTTTCTAAAAAAAGCTCATCATTCCTATGTCCCAAAGCTATTTCTGGAAGTAGACGTGTGAGGTCTGAAAACGGGCATTCTTCACTTCGGCCTTACCATAATTTTCACATAGAAATCGCTGATGAAGGCCCCTGTAGTCTTCTAGGTTCCGGGAGGGTGAGCTTTCAATGATAGCGTTGGAGCAGAACCACTGAACAAATGAAAAAGCCGTGCGCTTCTCCTGCAGAGATTCCTCGTCACACCAGCGGTCCAGACGTGACGTGGAAATGTTCCTTGGGGGGAAGCTCACTGAAAGGAATCGGGGAGACCTAAGCTTAGCTGTGACAGGAAGAGAGGGAGTGGTGTCCGCCCATTTGTGTGCGTGCTTTGTGGAAACCAGGATCTGCCCAGCTGTGTTTTGCCTTTCAGAATGGGATACGCGTACAACGGGCCCACGTCGGTCATGTCTTCACGGACAAAGTATCAGGGGGAAGGAGATGTTAAAACCTCCAACCCTTCGAAACAGTTTGACAAGAACGCTTACGTCTGAGCGAGCGCTGCTGCTGCAGGCTGCCTTGAGTTTGCTACAAAGGCGAACCCGTCCCAGAGTGATCCCGTCGAGGCCTTCTTATAATTAACACTCCAACTATTTTTAAAGTACGAATTTGAAGAATTTGTTGATTGTATGGATGTACATGTTCTTACATAGTTATATACTAATCATTTTCTGTTGGGACTTTCTATAAAAAATAAAAAATAAAGAGGTTATTTCCAGGATTTGTATCCATTTCCAGCCTGTGTTATTTAGCACTGGAAGGGGTCAAGAAGTACCTTGTAAAGTAGTCTTACTCATGTGTTGCCGTCTCTCCCCAGTCTCGTGTCTCTGTCTTCATAGAATTAACAGAAAGTGTGTAAGGAGTGGTGTCTTGTGCACAGTGTGGGGGGGCGACATGAGACTATTCTTCAAAAGATGTGCGGGTTGAATGGACATGTTCCTGGCTGCGTGCAGTGGCTTCTAGTGTCTCGCACCTGTCAGCCATCACTGGAATTCACAGTAACCTCTCCAAGAAAGCTATGGGGCCAAGATGCTGCGGCCCATTCCCCGGCTCATCCGCCATGCATAGCTGCTTAGGCATCTCTGGTAGAGAAAGCAGGTTCTGGGGCGGAGCAGCCGCGAGAGCTGAGCTAGAAACGCGGGTCGTGGCTGACTGTGAAGCTGACAAAAGAAGTCCGGGAGCCTGTGTGGCACCTGCCTCTCCCAGAACCAAGGCCAAGCTCTGATGTCCTTTAGGTCCTGGGTGCAGAGCTAGTTGGGCCACGGAGAGACCATTTTTCAAATACGTAAGTTGCTCTATTGATTTTTTTGAACAAAGACAGTGATTTATTCCTAGAACCAGCCCTTTCACCACGCACTTGGCACCGTTCTGAACGCTGCACATGCCCTAACGCGCTTCATCCTCACAGCTGCGCTCCCGGGTGCTGTTAGAAACCGGCCTGCAGCGGGGAGGGAGTGGAAGCAGAGTGGAAGTAACTTGCCACAGCGAGGCACAGAACACAGACTTCGAACCGAGGCAGTCTAGGGCCAAATAGAGAGTTTCAAGCTTCGGATAAGAGCTGGCATCTGTGTTATCTGTGAGCAAGATGCTTTTCAACACTAATCACCGCATGGGCGGGAAGAACGCTGTCCTGAAGTGTGAAAGACTTAACAGGGAAAATCACATTGTTTGGAGGTAATGGAATGAAAAGGAAATGAACATGTTTGTTATGCTGTCTGCCCCAAATTTCATTTATGTATATATATAATATTTAAAATATCTTTTCAAGTATTCTAGATCGTAATACTTGAAATATCTTTTCCAGGGATACAAATGAACTGAAAGCAATAAAGGGAAGTTAGGTGCTACAGGCCAGCGTAGGGGCAGGGTTTTTTGAGTTTAAAATAAATCTAACCATTTCAGAGCTGTACTAGTGAAGATACTGTTTAGATTGTACTGAGCTATTCCAGGTCCTGAAGCCTTTGGGAGGAGGAGTCGTCAAAGTACAGAAGAGCTGTGTCAGTAGCCAGGGACACGTTAGCTGTGCTCAGGGAGGGGAAAGAGAAGGCGATGGTCCAAAGAAGAACAAACCAGCCAGCTCTAGCAGGACAAAAGGACGGGACTAGACGGCTAAATTAAAGGATCGGCTGTTAGAACACAGATGCAGCGACCTAATTTAAATATTGCATGCACTTAGCAGAGTTCATCACATTTCTCGTCCCTTTCTGGGTGTATGGCCTTTGGCAAGTTACTTACTCTCAGTTTCTCACATCTTTAGGGTGAGGGTTACGATGACAACTACGTCTCAAAGTTGATCTAATTAAGTGAAATAATAATGCACATGACAAGAAAAAGAGTTGATCTAATTAAATGAATAATGCATGTTAAAAAAAAAAACCCAAACACCCAAGTAGCTACGCAGTGGCCTTTGTGCCTCCTTGGGCACACTGTGTTTTTGTAGGTTGCTTCTCTCTGTCCTACTGGGTTGGACATTTGATTTGGCTCTTATTAAAACTTTTAAAAACTTACATGGGAAGTGTGAACAGGTGCATAAAATGGCCCCTGTGGGAAGTTTTTTAAAGGATACTGGTGGACTACAAATAAGAAGTGGGGGGATAGAAACGTGTAAATTGTTCTAACTTTGAAGCAGGATGTCATATGGCATAGCCAACAAGGCAAGCTTAAACCCCTAGCAAGATCAGGCTGAGCTCAGAAACCATTTCTACTAGCCCAGTCCCAACGACGGAATGGAGGGCTTCACTCTAAAGATGGACAAAATGAAGAGATTCCCAAACCCAGCCAACCATTTAGTTAAAATATTGCTTTTTGGGGGAACCCAGTACAGATAGTACCACAAAGTATAAATAATGCAAAAACACTTTATATGAATCTTCTGACCATTGACAATGCCATTATTAAGAATAGAAGTAAATTACTTTTGAGGAATTTTATAATAAGGCTTGGGCATTTTTAAAAAGTGGGGGAAAAAAACTATATACATATGAATTTAGTAATGACTCAATCTGTAATCTTTTCATATTTTTACCCTTAAAATAGTGACCTTTTATTTTCTGAGCATGGTAAGGTTTATTGACCAAGAGGCCTAGCTCTAGAAGGTGGGAAAACTAATTCTCAAATCCCTCTTAAGAGCACCTGGAATTTAGGCATCTTTTACTGTTCGGAGAAGGGAGGAGGGGTGAGGCAGCGGGTGGTACTGGCTGGACAGGTACTTTAGTGTGAAATTCTTCAATCCCTTTGCTCCCGGTTGGCCCACTCACGCCCACTGATCCGAGTCCAGTTATGAAGACTCCTGTGAATCTATGGAAAACAGTCATTACTTTGTACATGTTCCCCGACCTCTTTCCTGACAAGGGGGGCTGCTCAAGCCTCAAGCACAATTTTGCTCATTAGCACATACAGCAGGAGCTATTACCTTGCAGGCCACCAGAGAGGAAGCATTTCGTCCTGTTACAGCTCCATTTTCTGCCTATCCCTCAGTCTTGAGAGAAATAGAGCCACTGGGTCCAGGTTCAGCGAGGAGGGAGGATGAGCTTGTAAGATGGAGTCAGATTGGTCTGCCCATTGGGCCCTCTTACCTGCCTCTTACCACCTCACACGTGTTGACTTCTTGCCAGATGGACCCTGAGCCTTAGAGGGGGCACTTGGGGTTTCAGTCTATAAGCAGAGCCCATAGCAATGGTTTAAGAAACGGGCCCCTGTACCCTAAGTAATGATCAGAGCAAACCATCAGCCAGTCTCTGAGGCTGTAAGGTTGCCTGTTGAGAAGACCTCCAGGTGAAAGGCTCAGAGCTTCGTTGCTGCTGGGATTGAAGGTCAGCCATGAAAACTGGACAGATTCCACTGGTCTGTCGTCCAAACGCCCCTGGTGAAGGCATCAGCTGCCCAGTGAGCTCTGTGTGGCTTATGTGCCACCTAAACCATCCAACCATGAGTTGTTAGGGTTTCTCCAAAGTTTACATCATGTCATCTAGCTACAGTCTGCAATCCCAAGGCTCAGAAAAAAGTTACAGTTCTCACTAACTCCAGGGCAAAGGAAGGGATAAAAATGAAACACTAGTTCAGAGGGCTGGAGCCAAACCCCTTCACTAGAAAATTTCAAGACCCAGTCCAGTCCACAAGTGAAAAAATTTAAAAGCAGTTAAGTATAATATCCACAATTATGGTTTCTACGGAAACATTTTTTTTTCTTTCTAAAATAGCCCTCATTTTAACAAAGATAGCCAAGTTAGGACTAATTCATTGCATAGGTCTAGTTTCAATAAGATTTGGCCTGTTATTTGCATGAGTACAACAAGAATAGCAATTGACTGTATAGATTCTTTTCAATCTGCTTTACTGGAACTTCATAAGGAATCTCCCTTCCTTCATTCCTTACCTGGAAAGACTGCTGTAAACCATGTAAGTGAGAAAGGTATTAGGTTGTTTTTCCAATAAGCTTTTCTCAGCCTCCAAAGTCAACCTTAATTCCTTAGCACTTTCTAGAGACATCCAGAGCCTGTGCATCTTTCTCTCTTTTCAAATTCAAGCAAAAGTTTATTTAGGAAGTTCCAGGTGTAAAAGAATTGAGCTGTGGAAGAAGTGAGCCAGCTGGGCTGTGGGATTCCAGCCAAAGCCTTAACAAGAGTCTCCAATTTGTGTCCTACTATAAAGAAAACAGATTCCTACTGAATTTCATAAAAACCATATTTCCATGAAAATAATAATATTCATTCAGAGTCTCCAAACTTCTTGAGGGGTCAGGTAGGAAGAAAAATATAAATGTTTCAATATTGCTTACAAAGGTATTATTTACCACACTGCTCTCTAAGGAAAAAAAGGGGGAAAGAAAGGTCGCTTATATCCCACAGACAGCTGAGATCTAAAGATGTTTCCTCTTCACTCCAAATGTGATTTGTGGGGGGGGAGGGGCGAGGAGGGCGGTGAGGTGCAATGTGGGAGTGGGGGCCAGTCCACCAGAAACACTAGCTCCTGGCTGGCTCACTGTTTGTTACAGGCCCAAGGTTTCTGTGCCTGATGCTTCAAAAGAAAGACCAACACTCAATAGACCAGAGTTTGGAGCAAGGAAAGGTTTATTGATCAACAAGGCCTAGTGTGAGAAGGTGGAAGAACTAATTCTCAAATCCATCTTAAAAATAGCTACATTTTGTTCATAAAACATCCAAGTTAAAGATTATGCTGCAGAAATGGTAAAGTTCTAAAATAATTGTTTTATAACAACATGCTTACAATGGCTCAAAGCTGATATGGCAAAGGTACTTCTGGAAAATGTATTTATCATGGGCCTAGCTATATTTCATAGTTCTAAACTTCTATATGAAAAAATAACCGATCGACCCTTAAGATTTCACTGACTCCACTAATTCAGTTTTAAAGATACTAATAGAATTATGATAAAACACTTCCAGTGTGATAACATACATAAGAAAGATGTAAAGTTTTAAACCCAAAATAGGCTATAATTAAAATTTTTCACTTAAAAATTAGTTGGAAAAAACACACTGAAACACTAGAGTACAATTTTGAAGAAAAAACTTTTTATGACTTCAATGACACACTATTTTTAAGCATCAGAAGTCTTAAACACCTTTATATTCTTCGAAATTCTGTTAATAATTTGTTTTTCAGGACCATATTTGGTGCCATTAAAGAGACCCTTGTTCTTTGAATCAGCTTCCTAGTTACCGTGGGAAATGCTGTAAGGCAGGAGCACTTGTATGGTGTTGGCAAGCTACTGACATTCTGCGACACTGAAATACTCTTGGCACCTGGATCTTCCAACATGTGGGATTACAGTTACACGTCTGAAGAGTCACTCCAGTCGGTCACAGTCACTAAGCTGCTCTTCAGTGTGCTTTGTTCATCTTGAAGTCCTGTGGGGCAGGGAAGAGAGGAGGAAGAGGAGGCTCCAGTGATTAAACAAGCACATTGTCCAGCCTGTAAAAATCTGTAACTTCCTCTTGCAGTTTATCACTCAGCGTGCAGGGGTGTTTGCCAGCCCCCACCCCCAGCTCCCCAAGCTGTGCAGGAGGCTCCAATGCAAGGTGACCAGGAAACGGCCACGGCCCCAGGGTAGTCCCCAGGACGCTTGTGGGTGCCCGGCCTCTCTCCTTCCCTGCAGGCAGCACAGGGCTGGGAGGGTGACAGCTCTCAATATGCTTTTGTTGTTGCTATTGTTGACTCCGAGTGAGCAGGGAGTAAAGAAAGAATAAAGTTAACAAGCCTACTAGGGATTAAATGGTAAAAACAGATTTTCTAGGGTAGATGAGCTTAAAATTTGGGGCCGTTGGAAATAGTATGGTGCAGCGAATTCTACTTGAGTTTGATTTTAGATTGCGGGGTGTGTGTGTTTATTTTGAGGTCGTAGCATTGGAAGAAGAGAAAGGGAATGGAATCAGAAAGACCTCTCTGCCTGAGTCACTGTACTGCAAACACGGCCTTTTGGTTTCTCAACTACCAGGATCGATATTCAGACACACCCCAGGAAACTTAGGGATGGTTCCAGAACAGGGGTTGCTGTCATAACTTGACGGTGTGAAACCAAAGGCGCGGCTGACGCAGTGGTGGAGGGGAAAGGTGAAGTGAACGGCAAAGGCAGTGATGCTTCATTTCACGTAGCAGGGTGCGCGAGAGGCGCGGCTGCTAGTGGCCAAGCAGAGGTTGACACGAATTTGTGTTCATTTAAAATTAGAAACACAGGTACAAAAATACTGATGAGGGGGCATGAGACGTGTAGTAAGTGTGGAAAATGAGCTAAATCTTCCTCTGTCTTAGCAGGACATTCACAGTTAAATGTTGACAGCTGACAAGTCTGGAAATGGTGGTCCGACCCCATTACTCAGACGAGGAGGTGCTCAGTCAGCAGAGACACGGACAGGGGACGGAAGAGGCGCGGCCAGACTCCCACCGCAGGCAACAGGTACTTTGATGAAGAATATAAATCACATTTTCTAATTTAAAAAATCGACTGTATCAAGAGTTAAGTCACTGGACTCATACAGACTCCAGGACTTATCCAAGGACAATTTCAACGAATGGTCTCATTTGTCATTTATCTCACTGCCTGTAATGTTACAAGAGAAACTGTCCTTCAAAGAAAATAAAAATATGTAATATGTAAAACAGAATAATTCGGGAAGACTGTGCCAAATGAATGGCCCCATTCAAGTATATGATCATAAGTTTTAATTTCTATGGGGCACCTGCATAAAGAGTGTGTATGTATGTGTGTGTGTGTGTGTGTGTGTGTGTATATATATATATATGTGTATATATATATATATGTGTATATATATATATATATATATATAGGCATTTTAAAAAATAACGTAAAATTTAGCCGTGACTGGCATGGCTCAGTGGATTGAGTGCCAGCCTGTGGACCAAAAGGTCACTGGTTCGACTCCAAGTCAGGGCACATGGGCTGCCGGCCAGGTCCTCTCTAGAGGGGAATGAGAGGCAACCGATCAGTTTCTCTCACACATCATATTTCTCTCCATCTCTTTCTCCCTCCTTTCCCTCTCTCTAAAAATAAATAAAATCTTTAAAAAATTAAAATAAAAAAATAACATAGAATTTAAATATTAAAGATTAGGCCTGAAATTAAATAAAAATTAGTAAGTATACACAAACCAGTAAGTTGTACACATTCGGTCCTTATTAAAATAACATAGAGCATCCAGGTCTTTGTTACACCAACAGGGTGTTTCGGTCTGATGATGTATCAGCACAGTTTAATTAGACATTTATAAAGACGAAACACAGACTGGAAAACGGACCGAGCCTCTACAAGACATCAAAGTAGCAAACCTTCTCCCTTTGGCCCAGGAAGGACGGGTGCACCCCAGGCGGTTGGCACTTGAGTAGAATGGGATTCCTTCCTCACGGGCGGAGGTTCTTTTTGCTCTTTTCCATCTTTTTTCCCCAGAGATTTTTCCTCCATTAAGGATGATATGTCCCAGTCGTCATCATCCACATCTGAGCACTAAAAGAAATACATGAAGAATGATGTTTCTTAAAGAGGTGGCCCCTGTTGGAGCCCCTCCGTCACTTTGTTGGCCAGACCGAGTTACGCTGACACCGAAGGGGAGGAAGCTGGGCACCGTGGAGGGTCCCTCTTCTGGTCATTTCTGGAGGGCAATGAGGTGGACTTAGAAATCCATGTCTTGAAAGCAGAGAGGAACCCCTCTTTTTGTTTCTTGCCATGTTTCCTGCTCTACCCATCATGAATTTAGAAAACGCCAGGAACACTACATTTTAGAAGTAGTTAGGATGCTCCTTAAAATAGAAGCGAGGCCGTCTCTGGGGCTTTTGCCTGTGATGACAGTAACTAATCCCAAACTGTAAGGAACATTCACGTCCACCACCCCCTTTCTAACGAAGACGTGTGAGCGAAGGGGGAAAAACTGGGACAACTGTAATAGAGTAAACAGAATAAGAAAGAAAACAAGTTTCAATGTACAAATCCTCTAATATCCTTAAAAGATGAAGTTCTCACCCTGGCTGATGTAGCTCAGTGGATTGAGTGCCAGCCTGTGAACCAAAGAGTCGCTGGTTCAATTCCCAGCCAGGGCACAGGCCGAGGTTGCGGACCAGGTCCCCAGTAGGGGGCATGCGAGAGGCAACCACACACTGATGTTTCTCTCCCTCTTTTTCTCCCTCCTCCCCCCCCCCCCGCTTCTCTAAAAAATAAACAAAATCTTTAAAAACAAAAAAGAAGATGAAGTTCTCAGTGTATGTTTAGCAGGTCAAAGTGCTTTCACCTTTAGCTCTTCTTTGAATTCTCTTTTGATGAACGCCTCAGCAACATCAATCCCGCCAATGGGCTTGCTCACATTTCTCTGATTTGAAACCGTCTTTTCAACTTTTTCAGTTAATGTTTTAATGGAGGTTCCTATATGACCGACAGAAAAATAGACAGAAAATAGAAAAAGTTTTTAAAAATCTGAATCTGTCTTCAGTTCCAAAATAACCCGACAAGCAACTCTGACAGAGACTAAGCTTTGCAAATAGCTATGCACTATTAAAATAAATTCAACGGATGTATTTTGGGGGTTAAAAATGTTACATTAAATTACTTATAATTCTTTTACAAATATAATGATCCTCTGGACTAGAAGCAGTAAAATTTTCATTTTAAATCAAAGGAGGATGGTTTTATTCAAGGACTGATCAGAAACTTTAAGCTCAGTGAGGTATCCTGCATGAATGGAATAATCACATGGGTATTTTCAAAAACAATATTAATTATTTTAAATGAATTATCTGTAGTTTACACAATTATGGAAATATATGTATACACAAATGATATACAATAAACTAATTACATCTGATACAGTTAAAACATATTTTAAAACTTACATTAAGCAGAATTTATTTTTTTTTAAAATGACCCTAAAGTACCACTTCTCTTCATCAAATCAGCAGTAGTCACAGACTTGGACTGTCTGTCCCTTTAGATCAGCCCATCTCGGAAAGGCAGCAGAAGGTATTAAAAGAGCCATTCTCACGGTCACCCAGTTTCATGCTTTAAATTGTCTCTCCAATTTTGTATGTTGAAGTTCTAACCCCAGTGTCTCACAATGTGACCTTGTTTAGAGATAGGGCCTTCAGAGAGATAGTTGAGTTACACTGAGGTCATTAGGGTGAGCCCTAGTCCAATATGACTGGCGCCCTCACAAAAATGGGACAGCTGGACAGATACACTCATTGAGGGAAGTCAATGTAATGACACACAGAGAGTTGGCCATCTACAAGCTAAGAACAGAGACACAGGACAGGTCCCTATGGCCTGCATGAGGAACCAACTCAGACACCCTTGGTTTTGGCCTTCCAGCCTCTGGAACTCTGAGACGAGACACTTCTTTTGTTTAAGCCATACCAGCCCTAACACACTAACCCACCTGGGCACTCCCGACTCCCTCCTCTCCTCCTGCTTGAATACCAACATGTGGCTAAGTCCCGCCCATTTTCCGGGGGATGCAGCAACCTTTGCAGAAGCCCTACCCTCTCCTCAAGCATGCATCCAGCTCAGGCTGACCGTGCGTGGTGCCCCTGGTCAAGAACCACAGACCTAAACAAAATTTCCCAAAGGATTTTCAGTGGTAAGAGCTCACCTGTGGGCTTGGGAGAAATATCAGAGTCCTCGATTTCACTTCCTTCGGTCCAGTCAGTGTCACTTTTGACGGTTTTCCTTCCGAAGCCACTCTTGTTGGTTTTGGATGACGGCACGAGAGGTAAGTCTGGGGACGTGTAAGCCTGGATGAGGTCGCCAGCATCCGGCTCTTCCTCCGAACTAAAGGGAGGCGTCCTAAACAAAGAAAAACCCAAACAGGGGCACTGTGTTCCTATAGTCTCCAGATTTACAAGCAATATGCCTCTTAAAGTGGTAGGAACTTCCTCAGGTGATCCCCAAGACGCATAACAAACGCCGGTGTGGCCCTGGGGCCAGGTGGCGGCAAGGCCCAGTATTTATGCAAAAGGCTGGGGTAATTTCAAATCCAAACCTGCCACTGTGCAGCACGTCTACCCAAATGGAGACCAGTATGACAGGTCCCCTCTAAATCCCAACTTGTATATTCTAAACATTCTTGGTTTTTACACACCTAAGAAAAATATTTCTCAGGGGGAGGAAAAATACTTTCAGCAATAAAACTACTCTGCCTTTTAAGTGTCATTATTTATAACTTATCTTTACACTGCATCTTAAAAAGTGCTTTTGCCATCTTGTTGGTAGTAGTATCACATGAATTATCACCCCATTTTAAAGTGAAATAAAAGTGCAGAGCAGTGTTCATTCATTTAAAAAAAAATAAAAAATAAAAATAAAGAATAAAAAATATTCATGGAGCACTTAGATTTCAGACATTGGTTATACTACATCCCATGAAAAAAAGCTCTCCCCATGGCATCGCATACAGGAAAAGTGCTTCTGAAGGGTAAATCATTATATTGTCTCTACTGTATTATATTTCTACTGTCTCTACTGTAAACACACACACACAAGGCCTCAATGAAGAGATTTATAGTATCGATATCTCTTCAGTAAGTCAATAATGATGAAATTGAATTATAAAATTAGTTTTACTCATCATTAATAACAACAATATACTTATAATGTATTGAGTGCCAAGCACTGAGGCCAAGCCCTTTTCCTATGTTCTTATTAAATTGTCACACTATTCTGTGCAAAAGGCAGCATCAGCCCATCTTACAGATAAGAACACCGAGGCTTAAAACTGATAAGCAACTGAACCAGTGGCACACAGTTAACGACTGACTGAGCTGGGAGCCTTAGTAGCCCACGAGAGCCTCAGAATGCTAGAGTACATCTGGCCACACCAGCATGGATCCAGCCCTCAAAGGCAACGTCGTCCCTCTAATTTACCAAGCTTATTGAAGATTACTAGACGCTGAGGGGGACAATGGAAGCGACTCAGGGTGGTCCCACTTCTTCCTGGAGGCCACCATGTGATAAGTGCTATTAAATTATATACTAACTAATAAACAAAGAAACGTCACAAAGGAATGACAAATTCATTACGACATTTGATAATTAGGGCTTCAGTTGACCATAATGAGCACATTCATTTACAATGAAAGGAATGGTCGGTGAAAAGAAATTTTTAGATGACTTCCTCCCACCCAAACACTCACGTAATACTTGAAGGCTTTCTGGGAAAGTGATCTTCTATGATATTTTTCTTCATTCTAGAAAACGATAGAAAACGATGTCTAAGCAGCATGAGTAAATCCTGTAATTTACTATAAATTTCTATAGAATTGGTGGGGTTTGCTTTTAATGTATATCAAAGAGGATAAGCAACAACAAGAGTCTCCATGTACCAATGAGAGGTGGGTAGAAATTGCAACTGTGATTACCTGTGGGGTTAAAGGTTGTTATGTGCTGAATGTGTGTCCCCCTAAAATCCTATGTTGAATCCCTGCTGAAACTGATGATATCTAGAGATGGGGCCTTTGGGCAGGAATTAGGTTTATCTGAGGTCATGCGGGACGGGCCCCCCATGAGGGGATTAGTGTCCTCATAAGAAAGCAAAGAGAGACCAGACCTCACCCTCACTGCCCAGTGAGGACAGCCAGAAGGTGGCTGACTGCCAGCCTCAGAAGAGGCCTCTCAGTGACCAGGCTGGCGCGCTGACCTTGGACGACCAGCCTCCAGAAGTGTGAGAAAAGAAATCTCCATTGTTGAAACCACCTGGTCTATGGTATTTTGTTAGGGCAGCCGAAACTGACTAAGACAGACACTAATAAAAACATTTAAGGACTGGAAAATACTCACTTTGGAACAGATGGTCTATCAGTGAAAACAGGTCTTTGTTTAACCAATTGTCTGCTTTTCAGAGGAAGTTGTATTGCTTTGGATATTTCTCCCGTTGAAAAGGTATCCATTTGAGAAACACTGTTCCTATCTGGAATAGTAGTGTCATTCATGAGCCTTCATTGCACGAAAAGCAGAAAGACTACAATACTCTCTACGCTGAAACTGAAATGAACAAGCTCATCGGTGGGGTCTAGAGCCCACACTACAGGGTTTTTTAAATGTAAAAACAAAAATAAAAAACCAACAACACCTAACGTTCACACTGTAATAAAGTGTCACATAATAGGTACCAAAGTTTGTGAGCCATTTAAAATTATGAAAAGGTTGTTCGACTTTGCTTCCATCTGCAGAAATGAAATGGCAGTCGGTGACAGGCTTACCTGAAGACAGTAACATCCTCTCCTCAATTTTACAGCTGACCTGATGTTCAAGGGATTCTCGAATTTGCTGAAAGTTCGGTATCTGTCTTTCTAGATCACGTCTTTTTGATTCCATGGTTCTCAGCATTCTATTCAACTGATCACTTGAAATACCACGTGTATCCTGAAGGAATAAAATGTTCGGTTAGTCAATTATCCTGGAATGTTTTTCATTTCATGTACATTTGTCAGCATTAACTGTGCCAACCTTTCATCCTTCCTGCTGCATATAAGGTGGAGGACACCGCAGTAGATCACATACTGTGTGGGCCCTGAAAGGAATTTCTGGTGCAATGGGCACATGACGCATGTGGTGCCTGTCTACGACTGCTTTGCAGTGCTTGGCTGCGAATGCACAGAATGCACGTGTGATTGCGTGTGCCTGAATAACCATCAATGCAAGGTGTGTGATAAGGACCACACGAGGCCCATGGGCTATAGGAGTTCCACAAAGAGAGACTATCGAAGGCCCCGTGACCAGAGGAGGCAGAACGGGGAGACCGGGCTGTGCCCTCGAGGACGGGTGGAGTCACACAAGTAGAAACAAGGGAGTATTCCAGGTGGGTGGGGACTGGGGTGGGGACCCCTTGTAGGAAAGGCAGGTGTGGAGGCAGAAGTAGCCAAGGCGCATCCAGCGGTTAACACCGCAAAGGAATGGGTGAAGAGCAGGAAAGGAGACTGAGTGCCAAATGAAAAGGTTAAAGGTCATTCCACAAGTAAAATGAGGTCATCAGAGGGTTTCAATTATGAAAATAGCATAATCAAAAGGTAATCTGAGAAAATTCATCTGGATTTGATCACAGAAAAAAACTAGTTAAAGGGCTGTTCATACATGTTCCCATATCCCATCTCCCCAACACTTCCCCCATCCCCCAGTGCTTTCGGCTACAGGAGGCGGCCCCGCCATCCACCCAGTTGCCTCAGACAGAAATCTCCATCATCAGATCAAGTGCCACCTCTAGGAAATTTCCTCTGACCTCAGTTATTCTATCCCCTCCTCTTTTCCTTAATTGCACATCCTACAATCGATCCTTGTGGATCTGCCACCTGTCCATGTTAACTGTCTATCATCCCATACCCTGTGGCTGAAGGGAAATATCCAATACTGCACTGATGTTAATCCTTCCTAATTAACATGCAAAATTTAGGGCAATTCCATTCGGAATCCCAATAGGAGTTATTCTGGAACTGCAGAAGCTGTTTCTAAAGTTCACTAGGAAACAAAATATGGCAGAACTGCCAAGAATTTTTTGAAATAAGAAGACTAAAGAACAAGACATGACCTGTTGCAGATATTAAAATACAGGACAAAACTATTGCAATTAAATCAGTATGTTGTTGGCAAAGGAATATAAGAAAGCAGGATAAAACAGAAGAAAGCCCCCCAAAATCCAAATGTGTATGAGAATTTTATATATGATAAAAGTAAATGGGAGAAGAATGGATAATTCAACAAATGATTTTGGGACAACTGATCCAACTGGAAATAAGGTTAGATCTTCAACTCATTGTTTCCAAACTTAATTGTTAAAGCCCTGATAGGAAAAGAAAGCAATAAATGTTTTTATAATCTTGGAATGAAAGGAGAGGTCCCAAATACAACATGAAATTCCAAAACCATATGCAAATCGCCAACATGGAAACTATGAAACAATTCACAAAGGAATCACTGATGTTCATGAATGTGTTTGACTTCCACTGCCCTAAAGGTGGTCAAAATCCACCTGAAAAGAGTATGGGAATTTAAAAGACTGCCAACGCTAATGTGAAGCAACTGAAACTCTCACTCACTGACAGGGATAGTGTAAACTGGTGCAAACACTTGAAACACTATTTGGTTATACTCATTAAAATGAAACATGCATATTCTTAGGCTCAGCCATTTCATTCCCAGAGAGGTATCCAAGAGAAAGGAATGCTGGTGTCTACCAAAAGGTGTGTATAAGAATGTCATGGTCAAAAGAGCCTCAAACTAGAAATCTAGATGTCTATCAACAGGAGGATAGACAAAATGTAGCGCATTCAGTCAATAAACTACGACGCTACAAATCACTGCTAAGTGAAACAACAGATGTGAATCTAAATAGACAAAATCATAAGCAAAAGAAATCATCAACAAAATGCTACATGAGGTATGTTTCCCTTCACAGGAGATTCAAGAACAAGCAAAATTAAGTCAGAATAGCCATTATCTCTTGTTGAAGAATAAGGGGTGATATTCACCAAAGAAAGGCAAGTGTCTTCTAGGGTATTGAAAATGATCAATCTCTTGATATGGGTGGTAGTTACAGAGTGCGCGCACACACACGTGCAAATCCTTATACACATGTATGTATACAGTTACACACACATGAATATATCACATGCATGCCTATATACATATATCTGCACATACATGTATGCACAGGCTCATTCAAACACCACACACCTGCGCACAGCACACATGTGTATCTGTACACACATATCTGTGCATGCCACACATGCATGCACATATGGAGATAACCAAGGTAGGTTTACAGTTGTGAGTATGCAAAACACAAGAGTTTATTCTTGCATTATTATTTATTATTGCATTATTTCCCATACTAACTATAAACCTACTTTTGCCCACCCTGTCCTTTTGCATACATGAACATATGTGCATACATGCATATGCAGTCAAATATGTACATATAGGTACATAAATTCAAGTTGTTCCCTTAAGATTTATGTATTTTATGTGTGTCAATAGAAAATGTAAAAAGCAAAGAATATATCTATTATTCTATATCTATATCTATCACACGTTGAACTGGAATTATCCAATCTGGCAAAAACATGACATAGAATTCATTCATCCATTCATCTAACAAGTATCACGTAAGGGCTGATGCTGTCATGGGCCAGGATTGGGAGTTAACAGCCGAACGCGAGCAGCACTGCAGCTGCCTAGATGCCGGCCCCAGCTCCTCCTTTACAAGCTGTGGCCTGGAGCAAGCTCCTGAGCCCGTCTGTAAAAGGGGGATGATATTGTCCCTTACCTCAGAGAGCTGTTTCTATGTTCAAATGATTTAACATTCGTGAAGCTCTTAGAACCATGCATTGAACTGCAGAACTGACATGCCTCCTTCTCTTCTCTGATTCTCTCTTATTTAGAAAACAAAATAAAACCAGCAAATACGCCAGAAATGAATGAACTTACTGCATTAACCCCTAAGGTTTCCAACTTCCGCACCAAACTCTGCTCCAAGATCGTTCTGATTTTCTTAGTGAGAGAAGGGTTATTCTTCAAAGCTTTCCTGAGATGGTTCTTGTGGTTATTTAATTTCTGTTCATTTTCCCTTCCTGAAATAAGGTTTTGAAAAATGTGTTAAAAAACAAATACATTACATCTCTAAGTAGAAAATGATAAATCACAACTTTTAAACAGCAAGTAAGCCCTTGTAATCTTTTCCATTTTTGGATAGTCATTAAGCACAATATATAATGCTTAAGTACTGCAGCTTTTAAAATTTTCTTAAGATCAACACTTTGAATGTCTTTGAAGACTCTTTCTGAATTATAGCTCGATAAATAATGCAAGAAATGTGTCCCTAAAGAAGCAGGATGAAAAAAAATCTTATTTAGAAGTTTAATGTTTTATTCTGAAATTATTTTACTACTCCTGAATAATTCATTTCTCCTATATTTAGTTACAATTTATGTATTGTTTTATGAAGAAAAAACTCAATTTACTTTAAATAATTAAATTTTCATATAGTTAATTTAATAGAAGTTGAGTTTATATAAAATTTCATAATGTGAAATTCTCTCTCTTAAAATATTTACCAAAATGAAAAAGAGGTTAAAAGAAGTCTTAGATAAAGTATACTTTATTTAAAACAATCCATAATTAAAAACAAAAAAAATAACAGACTAAGTTCTTCTAACTTTTCCCTCCCTGTTCCTCTTTGATTCCCCCACCAAAACATGTCTAATTCCAGAGATTTCCAAAAAGGGGTGTAATCACATGACCTTGAAGAACAGAGTCCTTATGTCAAAAGAAACCGAAAGCTTAATGAAAGAGCCCCAATGCTGGGCAGTTCCGACCCCTGGTGAAGGTCCACAGGCAGACCTGGGAGAACACACCAGTACTATCATTTTGGAGTTTAATCCTCTGATTTCTGAACAGGTGCATTTCACTTAATAAGGGCGACACCAAATGCTACTGCCTGAGTCTGGGGCTGTAGACACTCCTTCCCACCATCCCCTGTGCCCCTGGCCTCATCCACACTTCGGTAGGTGGGGTTTTCAGGTACCCACGGCATCTGGATTTGTAGATCTTAAACCAAATGCCTTTGGTTGAGGTGTTTTCTAAATGCTAGTTCAATTCCATTAGTAAAGAATATGTCTGTTCATCTGTAAACAGTTTTGCTCACAGCAAAACTAGTCAAATTACTCTTTCTACCTTCTATAGGAGGAAATACGCTGCATGACGATGCTTTTCTATACTTTGCTACTGCGGGTTCCTAAATAAAAATGATCACATTTTATATGATTACACACGATTAAAAGTCAGAAGCAATCTTACAAGTTATGCTCTCAGCACTTAAGCTGCTGTTTTTCCAACCCATGTCTTCCAATGTTTTGAAACCACCCCTAAAAGGACTCTGTCCTTGATACTGACGACACACCATAATCTAGAGGGCTTAGCCACAGCCACGGACGGCTGTGTTGCTGACTTTGGCTGCTCACTGGCAACCAAGTCTACAAGTATCCAGGGCTAAAAATAAAAAGAGGAATGAAGAGACATCTGGAAGTCATGGTGCTTCCATTGAAATACAAACATGTCCTGAATCTGTAGGGAATTTTTTTTTGGCGGGGGGGGGTCCAGTTTCTGGGATATAAAATAAACTGCACAGAAGCGCAGCCTGAAGAAGAGATCTGGGCCCTGTATGCCTCCAGACACAGGGAGACATGCGAGGGTCAAGTGTTGCCAGGAACGGCCTTGTCTCAGTTTAGAAGAGTCATAAGGTCTTGGCTGGCAGTCCCTGAATTGTTGACTGAGGGGGGTTCACCTTCACCCATGACAACAAGTTCCTTTTGGTGACTTCGTTTCCCCAATGACCACAGATTAAACATTTCCTTCTGTCCTCAAACTCACTTTATATGTCGGCAGTTGCTTTGGAAAGCCATTTGTAAATTAGAAAGCCCTTGGTTGGAGAGTCTTACAGAGCTGTAGCTGGCTAATGGAAGAACGTAGAGTGGACAGGAAAAAGAATAATAATCAAGAATGATCAAGTTTTTAGGTAAAGATGGAATTAATCACTTGAAAACCAACAACTGCTGAAGATTTTAGTTAGTGTGTATTGCTCACCAAGATCAACAAAACAAACCTTTCTAGCTATCAGCACTTCCTCTCATTGCAAAGGTGAAAACGTAGGAAAGCCAATGACAATGCACAATAGCCTACACGTGATCAGTTCTAGCAGACATACAACATGCCATCTGTGGGAAGCAAACAAACAATTGTGGCACAAAGCAAACAGTAAAAGCCAAACACAGAACTTCTGAGTTGGAAGGGACTTTATCATGTAGTAACAAACCTCATTTTTCCCATGAGGACACCAAAACCAGAGAGATGAAGAGACTTTCCCTCAGGCCGCCAGCTAGTCCTGTAGAACCTGGACCAGCCTGCCTCTCTCCATCACTTTGTACTTTGTATTCAACAATGGGAAGCAGAAAACCCAGACTTAACTCCAGCCCTCTCATGAACGGAACTCAATGACGTGGAGCAAGCTCCTAGTCCCTGTTTCAAGTTTGTGAATAATAAAATGGCCTCTACCACCACCTCCTGGCCCTCGCATTCTAACACCCTATAAACAGCCAGATCAAGGACGCCTCTACACAAGTGTCCACCGGGACGGATGCGTAAATAGTCTTCCTGATGAGCTGCTTCTTGGTAACAGCCCATGTTCTGCAAACCCTTGCCTGAGGAATTGGCAGCACAGGCATTATCTGCAAAATGTGAGCACAGGCTGGGGGATTTACTGGGGGCAATGACCCAGCTGCCGGCAGGCGGGGTCCACAGGGGCACTGCAAGGGTGTGGCCACTGTTCGCAAAGGCGCATCTGGATTCTGGGGCATTTCTGATGGTCCTCAGTACCTTCTCCCTCGAGAGCTGTGTATGAACCCAAGGATGGCGGCCAAGACTTTCTTTCCCACTCTGGTTCTCCCAATGGGGCAACGATCAACGATGGCGTTTGTTGCCAGTGACCCCAAACTCCTGCCTCGTGTTTTCTGGGCAAAATTCTTAAAAGAAATGTGGGCAGAATGATGCAGTGGGTGGAACCTGGAGCCCACGTGATGATGGTGGACCAATCAGGATCCCCCTGGGACGCAGCTGACTCATTTTTAAAATGAATGTGAGCTATATGACCTGAGGCTCCAGTTTCAAAGATCTGGACCTTTGCAATGAACCTCCTGACACATTTCATGAATTCTTCGGAGAATGAGATATTTTGTGTTCCAGACCTCAATAAATGATATGTGAGAAAGAGAAAGCATGTTACCTGAAAGTAAAATGAAAATACACCTCATTCGTATAGTTATGGATACACCTGAGTTAGACACTTTTCAATTTGTAGCCTTGTTAAAAAATTTTGGAAAAAGTCTAGAGAACATAAAAGAAGTTATAATAAATATTAAGACTTCATACACTAGAATATATAATTTTACTTCTTTTTCTAACAAAAATGACAAAATCAGAGCCCATATAAATATTAACAGTTTGCTTTCTCCTAAAGAAGTGATGGGAAATCATTATTATTATTATTATTATTTATTAAGGAGAAAATTATGATAAACTGATTTAAATATAATTTTTTTTTAAAAAACTACAAGTCTAGCATAGAAAATGTTAATAATGTAAAATAATTTTCAGAGGCTTCAAACATTAATCTCTAGAAAATAACTGTGAGAACTGAAAAATAAAATGAGTAAGCAATGATATTTTAATTATCGCCCCAAACCTATAACAGCCCCCAAATTTCACCAAAAACATTATTCTGCACATGAATATTCCACATTCAGAGCTTAAATGTTATGCTTTCTTTTCTACTAAAAATAACGTTTAAAGTGGGCACTTCCTTCATTCATTTCACAGATTCAGGATATGAGAAATAACTACTGTGATACAACTATTTTTGTGTATCATCTGGCACCCAAACATGCAGAAAATATCTGCAGTAACATAAAGGCTTACATTTTTTTGCAAGTTCCCCGACACAAGGATATTACCCACACGCTAAGAACACCATAAAGCGGGGCGGGGCGGGGAACATAACAGCATATTAGGGGAGTAAGATGACAACACACTACATATAGACTGAAAACATGATCCAAACCTAAACATCTTCCCTCACTGTGACACAGTGTGGTAAGAACCACTGGATCACATTTGCCAGGCTTGGGTTTTGGCATCTAGATATCACCTCTGCAGGTATGAACCCTGAGCAAGCCCTCTGTTACCTTTTTCTTCCTCTGAAAGCTCTTCTATTGGCTCCAGTATGTGCGATGGGAATGCCTGTTCTATTAACGAGGAAACATAAGAACAGTACAAACAGGACAACAGCAAAATAAAATCAGTTCACTTTCAAACAGTTTTGAAAGCCATGTAGTTCCACAGTACTTTAATCATGTCTAAGATAGCAAGAATTTACGAGGAAAAACAATACTGAGGCAGGCAGGCAGTTAAAGCTGCTCACTTTTTCATGGTATCTTCTCTTTCTATTTTCCATTGACTCCACTCTCAGGAGATTATATTTTTAAATAAAATTAAGTCTTCACATTCATCCACCTCGTGCCTGAGAGGATTCTTTTAATGCACAAGGACAGTACTGGACTGGGTGGCTAAATAGAAAATTAATGAAAATACTTCAATTCCCAAAGACAAAAACCATAAAAAGTCTCCGGGGCCCTGGGATTCCCACTTCTCACAGGCCCCAGAGTCTTCAAGGGGCAGGACTGGGCTGGTAAAGGGCACCCACAGGTGTCCCTACGGTCAGCAGCCCGAGGGCCGGCAGCAGGACCAAGACCCATTCCTAAAGACCTCCATGTCCCCAATCCATGTTTCAAGACCTATTTCTGCTCCGAAAGGCGCCAGGGCAAGGCTGCAGACAAATGACAGATGAGGGCGGCCCTTTCCCAAGCCCCAGGAGAGTGGCAGGGACGGCAAAGGTGACGGTGCAAGCACAGGAAGCCCCCAGGCAGCATGGCTACGGCCAAACCCCGTTCTAACACGGCAGTCGGGCATTAGACATGAATGAAATGCAACCAAGGAGTCTTGTCCCGCGGGTGCAGAGTTCACTCCTCTTCGTCCTAGAGACTGACACGGGGCACCTCCCCAGGGACCTCTCCACCTGCACCCAAAGGGCAGGGGTCAGGGCATTCTGCTGCCAGACCGCAGAGCACACGACAGGTGAGCCTAACAATGGTCAACAATGACCGAGGGCTCAGCTGGTTGCCGGGCATGGATCTAAGTGGTTTGCACGTTATTAGCTCAGGTTTAATAGCTCCTACGTTAAAGGTCTGGCTTTTAATTTATTAAAGGGTATTTCTGGTACTTTATTTTAGGCATATACAAACATGCACACATATAAAAGGTATATACAATTAAGCATATATGTGTCATATTTAGGTATATATAAATAGGCCCTTAGAGCTTGGCCAGCGGCCTTAGTCACCATATCTCCCGTTGGCTATATGGGAGAAATGCATTTTAAACTACTTTCAAATAAACTTTTGGAACACAGAGTCTTAGTAAGTAGGAGTCTACTTCAATTTTAAATAGGAACACAGCCCTGCTAAGGAACATATAAGTCTATCCATGTACCACAATTGCTGAACATTGAGATTTTAAGATATACAAATAGACTACTGTACTAGTTTGAACAGCTGAAAATGGAAATTTTAGAAGGATCAGCAATTTTAGTTTTTTTATGTTACTTGGTGACATTTAATTGTATTTCATAAAAACAACAAAAATAAGAATGTGGGGAAAGTTCCAGAAAATCTCAAAAATCATCATATGTATATTTATTATCATTATGCTACAGAGCTAATTCTATGACTGACTTCTCCTGGGTCAGGAAAAACGGTCAAAATTCGGACTTTTCCTGCTGTGGGATGCGGGGCGAGGTGCTGAGGGAGGGGCAGATCCCCGAACCTGGGCTCCTACCACTCAGGCTGAGGAAGGAAGTGAGGTCGACTGGGCCCCGGTACCCAGACCTAGCAGGCTACTGTCCCAAGAGCGGAGGGAAGGGCTGCCATTCTTAGGCTTTACAAGCCACAGGTCCAGCTTCTGGAAGCCCCAGTCCCTGTCCTGAGCGGAGCTTGCCAGGAGGAGAGCGGAAATGCCCGGAGGCTTGGGTCTCCCCTCTCAACTTGCAGGATGCTTCCGGAAAAATCCTTCTATCAGTGCCCTGCCCTTACCTCCAGAAAAAACGCCCTCAAGCCGGTACTCAGCCCTGTCTCCCTCTGGCTGGCTTTGGGGGGCGCTGTCATCCCTCCAGCTAAGGCTGAGCCAGGGCCTGCTTGTGGCCCCCGCTCCACAGGCCCACCCGCGGTCGGCCCTCTCCACGGTCCCCCGAGGTGGCCATCACTATCCCCCTGCTTTTGCAGGTAAGCAAACCCACTCATGCTGTTTTGTGAGTCCACTGTGACTCCAGGCTGCCTGACTCCAAACGCCAGGCTGTTGGCCACAAGCCGCGATGGCCCCTCCTGGACCTTGCCGAGCTTGTCCTCTGGGTTCTCTATTCGTCTGCTGCTGCCCACCAGGCGTCTGCGCCCACCATGCTCGGCGTCTCCCCTCACCCCTGCCCCCGGCCCCTTGTCCAGGCTTCCCACCAATGCCACTGAAGGGCTGTTGTGGCCCCTCCCTCTGCTCCATCACCACACCACAATTCCTAGAGGAGGGATCTCACGTAGACTGCTGCTAACACCTGTAGCTGGTCTCCCCAGCTCCAGTTCTTCGGGCGCGCGCGGGTCAGGCTAAGCTTCCTGAAGCCCAGCGCCCCCATCAAGCCTTGTCCAGCCTCAGAACGTTCCATGGCTACACGCTGCCGCAGGCACAGGCTGGAGAGAGAGTCAGCTCAGTGGGTGCCACAAACAGTTTCAACCAACCTTCTTCCCTTTGAATCTCTCCTGCCTGCCCAGTGCTCAGCCAAATAATTCATCTGCACTGTTATTAACATCTAGCACTTTCCTGCTACCTCCTGCTTCTATTTTTGCTTTGTTTCAGCTGAAGGGAGCAGCCCCCCACACATACCCCACCCTTCTGGGGCAAAACCCACATCATCTCCATCCAGGACAATCTGGAAGTGCCCATCCCAGCTCAGAAGCTCCTGGTAAGGTCTGCTGAGGGTGCCACTGCGGCAGCACCTCAGTCCTGCCTCTCTCACAGGTGCTGTCTGAGCATTGCCTACCAACCCTCCCACCTGCCGATCTCCACCTCAGGGTCAGTGGCTCAAGGAGCCCAACCTAAGACGATGAGTCACCACGACATTTTTATGGTAAAGAACCTCAACAAGATTTAAGATGGAACAAAAGTTAAGGCACAGGTAACAGGGCTCATTAACATTATGCAACACGTGACTGACCCTTCCTGTACCCCCAACACAGGTGGGGTGGGGGCAGGTCCGTGAGCCCCAGCCAAGCCTTCTCCTTGGCCCTGCCCATCGAGGTGCTCACAAATCACCTTTGGTCCCCGGCCAAGGTTTGCAAACCCCACGCCAAGTCTGGCTGGCATTTAAAACTAGCATTTCAATCGCAGCAGATGCCTGCAGGACGGCATGGCAGAGCCACGCGGCCCTGGCCCAGTCAAGACAGGAGCCCGGATGGAGCGCGGTGCTTTAGAACCAACAGATTTGGCAGGGCCCTTGAACTAACCCCGGAGAGCCTGGCATACAGACCACGTGCGTCCTTCCGTGGGCACCAAAAATGTAAAACAAAGGACGTCTGGGCCTTGTATAATGTTATACAGAAAGCTAACTATACCGAAGTAGAAAAAGGAGAAAAAGAAACCAAACACTTGAAGTACAAAACAGAAGTGGCCAGCAACTGCTTTATAAAAATCAACATCAAAAAAAGAGGCAGCAGAGAAATTTTAGACCTGATATAAAATAATATGAATAGAGAATAATGCCAGAGAAAACTGTCTTGTATTTCAGTATTAAGGTAAATTTATAAGTCCAACATATATTTTATCTGTTACTGGTCCAAAGGAAAAATAATCCTGCATGCTCTAAACACTTATAAATAATAACATCTAATGGGTGGAGAATTTGCATGACTTATTGTGAACACATGAAATAATCTTAGGAAGTAAAAATAAGGGGCAATAAATACTTCGCAAGTCAGTCAGTCAAAAGAATGATTACAAAGGCCACCATATACAGACCACATTATTTATGAAAACAAAAAGTTCAACTCAACTAATCATAGATTTAAGTTTAATTAAAAGGCCAAACACAAATGGGGAACGAAGGAATCACTAGGTAAAACAGGAAAAAGATGGCCGCCAGCCTCCCGTCTTAATTCATTTGTGATCCACGGAGAGACCACAGGAAAAGAACACATTTAAAAACATACTACACAAACTCTAAGCACCTAATTGTATAAAAGTAAACTACGGCCACAAATAGCCACCCTACCTACTGGATCATGTTACTTACAACGATGGCCCCGCCCCGCCGGCCTGATCCAACAACTGAATCCAGTCATTCCATCCAGTGGTTCCTACGTTTTTCCTTTGGTTTCCATCACATGTCTTTTTTAGATTTTTTTCCAACCAATCGCTGACACTGTTTGTTTAAAAGAGCTGACTTGCTGCTGCATTAAAAGTTATAAAAACAGTCACATATGCCCTGTGGCATGTGCTGGTTGGCTGGTCTAGAAAGTCACCCTCTCGCCCAGTATCTGCTGCTCTACTTTCCACCGAAAATCAGAAATAATGAAAGTACTACTCAAAGTTACAATCTCTACTTGTGAGTCCAAGAACACACCTATTTTATGCCTCGTGGCTTTGGTGGGGATGCTCAGTTTATGATATTAAATAGAAAGATTAAATATTATTCACTGTTTTACATTCACTAAAATGTTTGTTTTGCATTAATTATCCCCATAGAAAAGCACTTTCGGTTAATAAGTTATCTCACTCAGGGTGGAAATGGCACACGAAACGCCGAGACTTGGCTGAAACTCACCATGGGCCACTGTTAGACTGGACTTAGCATCCAAAGTCTGCGGGGCTGGAGCAGTCACTGAAACAGCATAAAAAACATCTACAATGAAAGCATAAGTATCTGAACATGATGATAACCCCATACTACCCAAATTAGTCCAGCTATACACAGACCATAAGGGACAGATGTTTCAAATTACTCCAAACCAATTTTTTTTTAAATAAGTGTTTCATTGAAATATAATTCCCCATTTTAAAATACACAATTCGATAGGTACTAGTGTGTCTACAGAGTTGTGTGAGGGGGAGCAGCGTTAGCCACCCCACAATATGCCTCTTTAGGGTATTGATTACTTTAGCCTGGTTAATTTTAACCAGTAGAAACTACTGAGTTTGGAAAACTACAAGTCTGTAGGACAGACCAACCCATCACTTGTTTTTATAAATAAAGCTTTATTGGAACATGCTCTTGTTCCAGTAATATGCCAAGTATAATGAAAGCATGAACAATTGTAACTGAGAATCTTTTCACCTTTCATCCTTCTCTGAAATATATCGTTCTCCTCATTTCATAAGATCTAAGTCCAGAGCATTGAAACTACCGCCCGCCTTCGGCTCCTCTGAACCGCTGCAGACTCCAAAAGCAACAGCAAGAGTCCTCAAGGAGCCTCACAGGCGGCTGAGCGGTTCACAGCCATTAGTATTTTCGGGTCCATGGTGCCAAATTCGCAATCACGTTCCTCAGTGTTCTTTCCTCACTGCGCAGTCCCGGGCCCGCAGAACAGTGTCGCCGGTGCCCAGCCCCCGCCCAGGCCCTCCTGTACATCAGACCCTTGTTTACATGCATGTCCTCCCTTGCCCAGGGTCACCTGCCCCCTGCCTAGCCCCACCTTCCTGAAGGGAAACGAAATTATCCCACATTAAGAAAACAACCTGTCAGACTCTAAACAGAACAGATGACATCCTTTTGGATGACAGCCAAATCCGGCCAGCTCTGGGCGACCCCTGGGCTGAGTTGAACTCCAGGGAGTGACAGAGGGACCATCGGCTCACAGCCTGCGACCCTGAGAGTCTCGGTGCGGCCAGAACGGAGCAGCCACCGCACAGTCACGTCCCCACACAGTGGGCTACCTCGGGAGGCCCCAAAGTACAAACTGGAGTGATGCCGACGAACGTGTAGTCGCCCCTTCATTAGGTGAACTGCAAGATAACGGGGACGGCTGACCAAAGTCACTGCCAAGGCACAAGGGTATTTACAGTTTTGGGCTGAAGAACTAGGTCAAAGCCAGGAATCAAAATAGATCGCTAGGTAATCTCCAAACACACTGGTTTTCAAAGAAAAGTCTCTGAAAATGAGTACAAATGATGTATTGGTTTAGCACTCTACAAAATATCTTCAAGATTCTGTGATTATAGAAACTTACTAGACACAGCTGAGGCAGTTGGCTTAGATTCAAAAGTTTGCCACGTTAAGGAATTCCCTGAAATAACAAAAAAAAAATAAATTAATAACAACATTGACAAGCTATGGGTTATGTCTTGCCAGCACTTACCCTAATCTCTTTCCCTCATAAAACAACAAACTTTACCAACATATAACAACTTGCCCAATTGAGTAAGGGTGTTTAACAAATTCTTACAAAGCTAACTTTTCCTAAAAGTACTTTTCGGTCAAATATTTATGCTGTCTAAGTAACTACACAGGTATTCCTCACTACTTGAATTGTCACTATTCAAAGAGAAGTTATAGGGAGCCACAGCCCTTCCCAAACCTTTCTCTCGAAACAAGAAGGAAACGAGTGTGCAAGCCAGCGTTTCCTGAGGCCCCTAATACAGAGAGACACCCAGCACGCATGCCCATCGCCGATGCCCAGCTCGTGCCTTGCAGGTAGAAAGAGATGCCTTCACAACCTGAGACATGCAGGGAACAAGCCTGGGACCGCGTGGGAGGAGGCCGGGCAGAAGGCAAGCTTTCTCTTTTATTGTGAGACCCTGTACATCTGGCTGCCAGCGTCCCATCTAGGCTGTCTCTTGAATGATAGAGGAATGGATGCTTTCACTGCTAGTTAGTAAGCTGCATACGCCCTCACTATGCTGAGAACCACCGCTTAACCCCAAACAGCGGCAACGGAAAACAAAGCAGTAAGCAGGACTCTGCAGTCCTTTAAAATAACGGGGGAATAAAAGGCGATGGACGGAGACTTGACTTGGGGTGGTGAGCACGCAATAGAGTGCGCAGAGGATGTGCTGTGGGATCGTGCACCTGAAACCTGCATAGTTTTGTCATCCCCAAAAACTCAATAGGAAGATAAAAAGATTTTAAAAATAAAATAATTGAGTTCAACGTCAAGAACAATAGCCAACACCAAAGAATGTTTAATAGGTGCACTTCTCACAAGTTCGCCCCTGTAACCCCTGCAGGAAGGCGCAGATGCAGTTATTATTAATTTTCCAACTTCAGAGCTGAGGAAACTGAGGCACAGCCTCACAAAGCTACAAGGAGCCAGAGATGGGAGTAGGGCGCAGTCTGTCCCCTGAGCTCTTTAAAGCATCGACTGCTCATGAGTACAGAGGTAAATGATTACTGAACATAACAATATTCTGTAAAAGAGAGAGAGGACCATTCAAAAACAGTTCAGGTGTGGAAAATCTGTCAGCTTTCTGGGTAGCGATAACAGACATCCCAACCTGAAATTAGAGGAATGCCAACTCAGCACCCACAAACCGTCGGGGCCCCACATTCTTCTGATGCCCGGCAAATGGTTCCGGAGGCCCGCCCGGCCTCCAGCATGGGGCTGCTGGTCCGCTTACCTTTAGGTTCAATGACGCTGTTTAATGGTTTACTGGTAAACTCTTTAATCTGTAAAGAGAAACAGTCTTCTAGCGATAACATGTTTGAAATTACATAGGGACACAATGAATAATGGACAGATACTGGACTCAGGAGATCGACCTTCTCATGAAATCCTCTGAAGACACAGGAGGACACATGGACTTGAAAGCCAAGGAGAAGGGTTTTATGAAAGCAGCATATGGATTAGGCGGCTTCTCAAACCAATTACTAAAAGAAATTCTTATCCATCTTCAAATTTGTTCTGAACCTCTTTGAGTCAATCTGCTCTACAGTATTTTAAAATACCTTTTAAAAACATTTGATTGAATTTACTTTTACAAACAATGATGGGGAAAAAAGACACCATTTTCTTTGTCTTATCCAATTTGCAGATGTTCTAAAATAAAAACATGCGTTCTTGGATAAATTGCACTACTTAAAGAAAAACAGTGCCAATGTATAGCCCAAAATACCTGTTGTCTCTGACTGATAATGAGTTCATTCCGTTCCTGGAGTGTCTGCTCTTGCTCTTCGATCTTTTTCTTGTAGAAAACATTATTTGCATTTAGATTGTCTATCACTAAGGTTCGAAGCTTCTCTATGTGAGACAGGAGCTAGAAAAGAAATTGAGAGGCATCGGTCTGCAAGCGGCATGCAAATTGTCTTCTGCGGTCTCCTTGTCTACGCTCTGCCTTCTTTGCGGGCCTCATGTCACCTGTGCACATTAGGTCATGGAGTAAATCTCTGATCACTGGGTACAGGGGGGCTGCAGGTCTCTTTCCAGGCTGCTCAGACAGGCAACACGGATAATGTGAACGGCTGAGCGAACCTGAGTATGTTACGTGAACTGACACAGGGAGAAGGGATGACAAAGGGCCAAGGCTTCCCCACAGAGCGGCTCCGACCCCACGCAGCGGCTCTGGCCCCACGCAGTCCTGCCCTTCGCACGTCCACACATGCCATCCCGGCTCAGCGGTGCGCTCCTTGGGCCGGAGAGCCCATCTTGATTATTTTTACATTTCCAGCAACGAGCATAAAATCTCTGGCCTTTAGCAGGTTATCAATAAATATTTATTGAGAAAAGAAAGATGGAGGGAGGAGGATAGAGGAAAAAAGAGGAGGAGGAGAGGAAGGAAGGATTGGCTGGAGGAAGAGAAAGGGAGAGATGCAGAGGACAGAGATATCCAAAGATTCACAGACAGATTCACCTTTAGGGGCTTAATGTCAGGGAGGATCATGTATTAGATGAAAGAAATTCAGTAAGAGTTTGTTTTCAGTAATTTTGGAAAAGGCTCTTAAGGCGATTTCAGTAGTTACTTAAACAGAGGGGGAAATAACTTGGTAATTGGAGCTAAGGTCATTCCAAACCTACAGCTTGGAAGCAGAGACGGGGTGTACAGACCAAACAAAGGGGGCGGTGGCTAACCGTGCCTGGGATGGGTACAAAAGGCATCTGGAGCAGCATTTCCTGACTTGCTTGATTTTTTAAACAAACGCTGACCGTGTGCTAGAGGCTGCATTGAGTTGAGCGCTTCACCCTGTTGAATCCACACCACAACCTTCGGGACTCAAGTTTTGACCCCATTGTCCACACAGAGACATTCAAGTCTGGAGAGGTAAGGTGGCTGGCCCAGACTCAGACAGCTGAAGAGGGAAGAGCCTGGACTTGAACTTTCATGTCTGGCTTCAAAGTCAACGCTCTCAAATGTAGTGCCTCTGTCATGAAAAATATTACTTGCATGCAAGCAAGCAATCCCCGGGGGAGTTTAACAACTAAAGCACCATATCAAAAAGTAACAGCAGTGTGACTATCAGAATAGCTAAAATCCAGACCACTGACAACACTAAATGCTGGTGAGGATGTGGAGCAGCAGGAACTCATTCATTGCAAGGGGGAAGGCAAGGTGGTATGGCCACTTTGCAACAATTTGGCAGTTTCTTAATAAATTCTATGTGCTCTTACTACATAATCCAGCAATCACGCTTCTTGGAATTTACCCAAAGGAGATGAAATTTATGTCCGCACAGAAACCTGCACACAGGTATCCAGGGTCTGGCAGAAGCTAATGCCTGCTTGAGTGCGATGTTGTTATGTTATAGAATCACATGCTTATGACTTTGTAGTAAAAAAGGGGTGTTATTTGTGCCAGACCCTGCATATGGTAGCTTTAGTCATCACCTCCAAATTTGGAAGCAACCAAAATGTTCTTTACTAGATGAATGAATAAATAAACTGCGGTTCACCCAGACAGTAGAATAGTATTCTGAATTAAAAAGAAATGAGCTGTTGAGCCATGAAAAGACTTAAATGCCTATTACTAAGTGAAAGAAGCCACTCTGAAAAGGCTACGTCCTGTCAGGTTCCAACTGTATGACATGCTGAACAAGGGAAAAGTACAGAAACAGTGAAAAGGTCAGAGGTTAGGGGGAAGGGAGGGATGAATAGGCACAGCACGGAGGACTTTTAGGGCAGTAAAACGACTCTGTGTGATACTATAATGGTGGATACGCACCATTTGTCCAAACTTAGAGAATGCAGAACGCCAAAAGCAAACCCTACAGTAAACTTTGGACTTTGGGTGACAATGAGGTATCGATCAATGTAAGCTCACGGACTGACTAACATACCACTGCGGTATGGAACGCTGATAGGCTGGGGGTTGTGCTTACGGGGGATGGGGCAGTGAGTATTTAGAAACTCTCTGTACTTCCTGCTCAGTGTTGCTATGAACCTAAAACTGCTCTAAAAAGAATCCAATCACATTAAAAAACAAATGATAACAAAAAAAAAAGTTAATGCTCTCGATCAATACACTGCAGGGTCCCCCCGGGAAGGGTTTGTATGAGGCTGGACAAACATTGGGTTGAACCAAGTCAAAAAGGTTTCCTGAATGAGGACTAAAAATATCTTTTCCTATCCCAGTGGATGCTGAGACTCTCTCCCAAGAAGGACATTGTCAAGAATCTTCTCTGAATGTTTACGCACCACTGTAAGAGTGCCCCCCAAAGGCAGCGTAGCAAACACTGAGCTGGAAAACAGAAGCAGAAGCCAGTAAAGATGTCTGGGCTGCTGAGTGGAGGTTCAGGATCAGCAATATGGGGAGACATTCCAGGCCCCCCAGAAGAAATAGAACACAGGAAAAACTAAGGGAGGGCGCCTGTCTGATATTAGAATTGAGACAGACTCAACCACAAGGGGCAGAAAAAGTTCACTGAGGGAGGAACATGGTCATCTAAGCAAGGGATAGCCAGATACTATTTCAAAAAGTCTGTAGGTCTGGAGCCCATCAGTCACGACCTCTACCACCTCAGCCTTGGCTTGGTTTCCTGTTAGCCCGCACCACCCCTCCCTCCCTTCCTAACGCGACCCTTCTACAACCTCCCAAGCTCCAAAGAGTCGTAAGTTGGGTCAAAAGGGTATACCACCGTTTATCTGTGACTCCCTTTGAACTCCTACCAATGTTATTTTTTAAAAAAAGAAAAAGGAAGACTGCCAAGAATCTAGGTAAAGCAATAAAAAGTTGGCAAACGCAACTTCTCTTAAACAGAGAAATACAATATGTGCATTGTAGGAACAGTAAGCACCAATCATGTGGAATAATTAATAGTTAGGGCTCCAGCGGAGATTACTAAACCCGACTGAATTCACCCCTCTGTTAGGGTTTAAGAGAAATGAAGGAAGAAGTGAGCAGGTTCTGAGCAAACAAAACCAACAGACAAGAGAGCAGCGTAGCCTAGTGGTGGCCGAACACCCACACTCCCGAGCCGTGACGTGGAGCACCTCCTTCAGAAGCTTCGGGAAGGCCTCCCCTCCTTCCTCTGAACCCCCAGTGGCTGGTCCTTCTCTCTGCCGTGACTTGCAATGGCAAGTGTGAAGCTTCGCAATCTGCATCCTGTTCTGCCAGCAGGCCACTGAAATTCCCACAGCTGCCTGGAACACAAGGCACTTTGAAAGAGCGAGGCTTAAGCCTCACCCCTGTTGATAAGAAAGACCGGGATCTGTCCCTCAGTATCAAAGCTTTAAGATGCCTTGAACAAGAAGAGTAGGATTGCAAATCACCTAAGAGCCATGTGTGGGTTCAAACCATGGATCCAAAACAGAACCATCTAGGTTTGGTTTTGGTGTGTTTTCCCCCCCAAAATATGTATGTCCAGACTCACCTACTGAACGAGAATCTCCCGCTGTAGAGAGGCACGTGTATTTTGGAAAAGAGTATCCGATCACTCTGAGGTGCATCCCTCACTACTATTACCTTAGAACATCCCAGGGGACAGCTAGAATGCTCCACAGAAAAGCAACCACTCTAAGTTGTCCCTGCCCAGTCCCCTTCCCACTGGCTAAGCGCCTAGCACCTGACAGGTAAGCAAGGCAGTGAGGCGACAAGCTGGGCCCCGCGGCGAAGCGGGCCTGGGCGCAAACACCGTGCTCACACCGACCGACAGCTCCCTTGGCCAGCTCTCCTGAACCCTGCAATGAGCATCTCTCCGTGCACAGAAACAGGGCTGAATGATCGCCTTTTTGGACACCTAGCAACCTTCCACCTTTATTCAGTACACAGTTAAAGAGTTTCAATCCCATTTTAGACACATTATTGAATGTGGGGACCACAGTGCAGAACTAAATAGAGGGAGCCCCTCCCTCCTAGGGCTAGTGATCTGGATGGAGAAGTAGAAACTAAACAAGTAAACAAATAAGCAAAGCAGGATTTAAAACCGTGGTCAGAGCTACACTCATGAAGTGGTGAGAATAATAAAGGGAGGGGACTGGCTACTTTTTGCAGGAGCCGTCGCAGGTGCAACGTAAAGCAAGGCCAGAGGAGGGTACGGGAGGCAGAAATCGAACACGGCCCAAGTTCGTACCCCCAGGGCACAGGTGCTGATTAGTCCCTTTCCCTTGGCCTCATAGACTTGATGTTTGTGCCTCCCCCGTCTGAATTCATGTAGAAACCCTAACCGCCAATGCGATCATATCAGCAGAAGGGGCGTTTGGAAGGTCATTAGATTTAGATGAAGTGACAAAGGCAGGGTCCCTGTAATGGGATTAGTGCCCTTATAAGAAAAGACTTGAGCTTCTGAGCTTGCTCTCCCTCTGCTCTCCCTTCCCCCTCCCCGTCCCCCCCAGCCATATGAGGGGTACAGTGGCCATCTGCAAGGGGGCTCTCACCAGGAACTGAACTGGCTCACACCCAGGATCCCAGCCTTTAGAACAGTGAGAAATAAATACTTGTTTTTAAGCCACGCAGTCAATGAGAGTTAAGACACAGGGGAGCCAAAAGGCTACAAAATACATACAATTTAAAGTGAAAAAAATAAATAAGTTTTCCTAAAGAAAAGGATCTCAAATAAGTCTACTTGAGATGTTTTGCACTAGTGTATAATCAATAGGGAATTAATGCTATAATTAAATTCTGTTTTCATAAAAAAAATTCAGTGTGAACAATCCTTGCCTTTATTTTAAAATTAGATTGTTGCTGTGTGAAAAAAATTAGAGACATGTATTCAATAATGAAGAAATGATTAATTAACAGGATACATCTATAGCTCATCATGTAACCCTTACAAATCACGATTTTGAAGAATATTTTAAAACATAGGATATATTAAGTGAAACATATATAAAGTTATAGATATAAAGCATAATTCAAAATTTGTAAGATTACATGTATGGGTTTCTAACTTACAGAAATGCAACATTTACAGCATGGAAAAAAACTAAGTAATTTTAATTTTTGTGACATATTTCTCAACAAACTTTATTAAATGAAAAATACTAGCTTACTTGTAAAGAAAAGCAAATAGTTTTTGCAAAAATAACCTACTTACAGGCCATTGGTTTCTTTTTTTTTCCCCCCCAGATACAGTTGACATACTAAATTATATTAGTTTCAGGTGTACAACGAAGTGATTTTTTTATAATTGCCAAGTTGTGCTTCTCAATCCCTTCACCTTTTCCCCCAGCCCCCCCAGCCCCCCCAGCCAGCAATCATCATTTTGTTCTCGGTATCTAAGGGTTTCTCTGTTTATTTTGTTTATATTCCACATGTAAGTGAAATTATACGGCATCTGTCTTTCTCTGTCTGACTCATGTCACTTAGCATAATACATTCTACGTCCACCCCTGTTGTCCCAAATGGCAAGATTTCATTTTCTACGGTTGAGGGCTCTATGTGCCACATCCTTATCCATTTGCCCATCATCGATGGGCACCTGGGTGGTTTCCGTATCTTGGCTATTATGGCACCTAATGCTGCCGTGAACACAGCGGTGGTTTCTTAGTCTCACCTGACCCTTCTCTTTCTTGTGCTCCTGATGAAGGGCTTGAACTCGGGCTGTCCACTTGCTTTCCTAGGAAACAGTGAAACAGGAACAGTTTACGATCAGTGAAAAATGGGGAGCTGCCGAGAAGCCGTAGAGGGGGCAGTGACATCCTCAGTCAGCCTGGCGGTGAGGCCAAAGGTAGGTCTGCGGGGGCGGGGCAGGATGTGAGCGGCAACGCTAGGCCCCAGGGCAGTTGTTTGAATTGCAAAAGCGCCCTTGCTTTTTTAAAAAATCCCGAATTCATAACTTTAATCTCCACTTGTTTCCTGGTAAAACAATGCTCCCCAAAATGAACGTGACCAAACAGCCAGTGTGAAGACTGCGCTGATTATGGACATTCACTTCTAAATGACTGTAACTATGTTTGATAAATGTAAAATATCAGGTCACCAGTGTAGTTGTGTATTTTAGCTCTATAAATAAAGTTAGTGCTTCCATACGCCTTTCTATGCCTTTTGAAACTGAGACCTACATTTGAAGTATGAAAAATAAATACTGAGGTAATGTTAACCAATCCAAATAGATATTATCCTAGATATTTTGCCAATTGCTCTGTAGCCACATCTATTAGTCGATCAACGAGGAACTAATGAACACCTATTATGAGCTCTGCATGTATTGAGAGACAGAAAAAAGAATCAGCCACTTCATGGTCACTGAAAGACACAAACTCTCTTTCTGTAGATGATGCTGCAAATTACCACATTGAGAAAAATCAGGCCTCCAGCACAGTTGTTGCTCACTTTTACATACCTGACTGTCTAGAAACTGCATCACATTTTGGAAGTCCTGGGGATACTGAGGACGTTCTTCTTTAAACTCATGTGCATCTTTTAACGTGCCTAAGTTGGACTTGATCTGCAGATTGGACTTCTGGATTTCTGACAGTTGCTGTAACAGGAAATGCAAGATTCACTGGTACGAATGCTTATACCTTTGTAAGCTTTAAACAGAGAGTAAAATTGAGGAGTGTGCCTCCATGTTTTAAATCTGACAATCCTATTGGATGCTCGCTGTGCTTCTCTTCTCTTTTCCAGGGGTTTTCTTTTTTCTTTTTTCCCAAGAACGGAACACACACAGGGTGGAAAAGGGAAAGGAGACCTGACTTTCTCATCTTAAACGATGGGTCTTAACACTTTTGATGGGCATGGAACAGAGGAACCGGGTGCAGCTGGTTCTTAAGGTGATTCAGGGGCAAGGCCAGCGTCACTCAGGACCACACCCATGGATCTAGTAGGGACACAGCATTTGAATTTCACTCTTGGCTTGTATATTAGTCCCAAAGTTACCAGGAGCAAGCCCAGAAGGTAAAACTGCATAGTAACTTCAAAACAGCCAAAAAGGACAAGCAACACAAATTCCATCAACTGACAAATGCACAAACATGGCGTATCCATCCAATGGAATATCATTTTGCAATAAAGGTAAGAATAAAATACTGAGAAATAGTACAACGTGGATGAATCTTGAGAACATGATACTAAGTAAAAGATGTCATCCACAAAAGATCACATATTATATGATTCAATGTCTAGAGCAGGCAGCTCCATAGAGACAGGAAGCAGCTCCGTGGTTGCCGGGGGTGGGGGTGGGGGGTGTGTCCAGAGTGCTGACAGGTACAATGTTTCCCCCTGGGGTAATGCCATGTTCTAAGACCAAGATGGCGGTTGCCTAGGCCTGTGAACATATTAAAAACCTCCAAGTTGTATACCTTAAGTGGGCAAACTATACGGTATGTGAACTACTTCTCAATAAAGCTGCTTTTTTTTTTCCCTTTAGGTAAGAATGGTAAAGCTGTGGGGGGGAAAGTCCTATTCCACAATTATCCTAGGGGCAGGGAGCAGGGGAGAGGACCATGGAGGGACTCTCAGGAGAAAGAACAGTAATTGGCAGATTATCACAAGAGAAAAAAAATAAATGTAACCTTCCTGGGGGAGAGGTAGGTCAGTCTTGAATCGGTTAGTGCCCAAATCCTGTGGGCCACGTGGCACCCACTCCGTGAAGGGGCACAGATGGGTTCAGGAGAGGACCCCGGGGTACGGGTGTTAGAGGGAACTACAGGCAGAGAAGGTACTACTACTGCCTAGCGCTTCCGCTGCTTCGGAAGGACAGCAACCCAGGAGAGGGAACATGGGGATAACCAACCCGCAAGAAGTTGCCTGAAAGAGTCTCCACAAAAAAGACACAATGAGCCACCCAATGTGATTTCCCACTTTTTTGTTTTTTTTGGCAAATTACAGCTTATGGAAAAGGTGAAAGAACAATACCATACACAGCCGTTTCGCCCTCCCCAGTCGTTAACCCTGTGCCCACACAGCGATGACAGGGGCCACCAGACTGTTCCTGTGAAGAGCCAGAGAGCGAATGTTTTTGGTTTGGGCACACAAATAAGGTCTTGGTCACAAGCCCTCAATCCTACAGGTCCAGCACAAAAGCACTGCAGACAAAGTGTAAAGCAATGAGTGTGCTTGTGTTCCAAAAAACTTTACTTGTGGACACCGAAATGTGACTTCTTGTAATTTCCTTACGTCGTGGAACAGTCTTCTTCTGACTTTTTTCAACCATTTAACAATGGAAAAACCTCTGCCATCTCACAAGCCATACAAAAACGGGCATGCTTGGCTCACAGGTCATAGTTGCCCATCCTTACGAAAGAGTTCAAGGTATTTTAGAGGAGGATCTTAGCAGGATCCCCCAAATACCCCTCTATTTCAGTTTATAACATGTGTTGGCCTCTAGAGGGAGCTCAAGGATCTTCCCTCGCCTCCCGTTTATGCCTAAGGATGACGTAGCACTGAGCTGCCCAGCAAGCTCAGATTAATTCTTAGCTAAATGACAGTGGCCACTGACTGAAAAAGGAGTTCGCAGATGAAGGTCCCAGCCCAGTGAGGCGTGTCCCTGGTCCCTGTCATCCATGCATGTAACCAGGGCCATGTGCAGAAAGCTGCTCCCACCGGAGACAGAGCCAAATCCGGCCTGCTCCAGACCCGCCTTGTCACCAGCCAGCCCTGGCCAAGGTCCTCGCTCTGTCTTTCTGGGTCGGCTTCCTTCTCCTCCCACATTGGTGATCTCTGTCAGCCTTTCCTGGAAAGTCCCAAAACTCAGGGAAGGGTTTATGGTTTAAGTTTTTCGAAACCTCGCCAGCTAAGGCGAGAGGGACCCTCTCCTGCCATCCGACCACACGTACCAAGTGTACTGCACTAGGGTTTGGGGACAAAGCTCCCACTCTCAGAGAAACTATTTTTCGGATTTGCTGTGTGTCTCCTGTGTGTTTGGAGTGACCCGGAGACTCTCGGAGAGGAGCGGCGTCTGGTCCAGGGCACAATAAAGGACTCCTAGAGCAGGTGGCCGTAATGCCGTCTCCTAACGCCAGCCACCTCTCAAGGCAACCACGCAGCCAGTACTATGAGGACTTCACAGTTCACTACTTACGTATTCTAATGCTAAATTCTTGGAGGTTAATTCTTTAAACTCCTTCTTAAACATTTCCTTGAATTTTTCCATTTCATCAACCAACTTCTCCTTTTCTTCTTCTTTCCATCTATGAAATAACTTCAGAAGTTCTTCTTCTTTTGTTTTCTGCATTTCATACTCCTGAAATGATTTTTAAAACAAGGCTTTAAAAGTTCTGATACGAAGCAAATAGGTAAAACTTTCAATCCGTGGGCATAGCTTCACCTCAAATGTGTCAGCTAGCACTGCAGATTTCAGTAAGGCTTGCAATGACATTTCATATAATGCCAGGTCCACGCACAACGATTTCTACAAACCAAAGGCAACACACATCCTAAATCCTTAAAGTACAAATGCAGAGGCCCACTGTATCAAGAGTTCTGTGATCTGTGCACTTGTAGGGTAGACATGGAATTTGGGTAGAGTAGACCCACCTCACCCCGCTTAACCACAAATTTGTATTTACATAAGCTAAATTCAAGGTCTAGCCAATCAGCCTTTGATTTCTCAATGATCTTTAGGTTTTTAAATCTAACTAGGGACTTGAACAAACTACATAAAAACTCAACCTCACAGATGTAAACAGGAAGAGCGCTGCACCCAACAACAGCTGAATATACAACCTTGTTAAATGCACACAGGAGATTCAGCAGAAGAGACCGTGTGTTAGGCTATAAAATGATTCTCAACAAATATTAAAAGACTGAAATCATGCACAGTATATTCTCCAACCACAGTGGAGTAAAGCCAGAAATCACTAACAGAAGGGAAACTGGAAAATGAAAATACATAATGCCTGAATAACACATTCTTTAACAGATCAAAGAAAAACTCACTGGGGTAATTAGAATATACCTGAAGATGAATGAAAATTAAGACACAACACACCAAAAAAAGGGAAGCAGCGAACCGGGGCCCAGAGGAAAATTTAGAACTATAAATGCCTACATTAAAAAAAGAAAGATCTCAAGAGACAAACAGGGTCATTCTATAATGACAAAGGGGTCATTCATCACAAAGATATAAGAACTATAAATATCTATACAGCCAACACTGAAGCACCTAAACATATCAAGCAATTATTAACAGGACAAAAAGGAGAAATAAACAGCAATACAATAAATAATAGGGGACTTGAATACCCTACTCTCAATGCTGGACAGACCATCCAGACAGAAAATCAATGAAGAAAAACAGGATTTGAACAACACTATCGATCAGCAATTGTCAACTTTTTTAATCTCTGGCACACATAAACTAATTACAAAAATTCTGTGGCACACCAAAAAACATTTTTTTGCCAATCTGACCAAAAAAGAGGTATGATTCATTCACACTGGAGGGCTAATGTAGTGTTGGCTGTTGTCATTTTGTTTGACAATCTACAGGAAAAGAGGTCAATGCCCCTGATTAAACAGTCCTATAGGTGCTGCATGTTTTAAAAATTCTTGAGGCACACCTGTTGAAAATCTCTGCTATAGATCAAATGAATCTGCAGACATATACAGAACATACTATCCAACAGCAGCAGACACACAGAACATTCTCCAGAATAGACCATATGTGAATCACAAGCCCTAACAAACTCAACACAACTTTATATTACAGCAAGCATCTTTTCTGACCACAGTGGTAGGAAACTAGAAATAATAAGTAAACAGGAGGAAAACTGGAAAATTCAGAAATATGTGGAAATTAAACAACACTCTTCAGAACAACCAAAGGTCAAAGAAGAAATCAAAAAGGAAATAAAAAAAATATCTTGAGACAAATGAAAATGGAAACACTACATACTAACTTAAGGGATGCAGCAAAAGCAGTTCTAAGAAAGTTTAATAGCTATAAACACCTTCATTAAGAAGTTGCAAATAAATAACCTAACATCACACCTCAAATAGGTAGCACAAACTAAGCCCAAAGTTAGCAGAGGGGTGGAAATAATAAAGATTAGAGCAGAAATCAATAAAATACAGAACAGAAAAATAACAGAGAAGATCAACAAAACTAAGAGTTGATTTTTTGAAAAGATAAAGTTAAGAAACTTTTAGCTAAACTAAGAGAAAAAATTCAAATAAAATAATAAATGAAAGAAGAGACATTACAACTGATACCACGGAGTTACAAAGGATCGTAAGAGACTACCAGGAATAATTACATGCCAACATATTGGACAATCTAAAAGAAATGAATAGCCCTGGCTGGTGTGGCTCAGTGGACTGAGTGCCAGCCTATGAACCAAAGGGTCACTGGTTCCATTCCCAGTCAGGGCACCTGCCTGGGTTGTGGGCCAGGTCCCCAGTAGGGGGTCCACAAGAGGCAATCACACATTGTTGTTTCACTTCCTCTTTCTCCCTCTCTTCCCCCTCTCTAAAAATAAATGAATAAAATCTTTAAAAAAAATGAAATGAATAAAATCCTAGAAACATACCTACCAAGACTGAATCATGAAGAAATAGGAAATCTGAACAGACCAGTAAAGAGTGAGGAAATCAAATCGGTAATCAAAAACCTGCCAACAAAGAAAAGCCCAGGACCAGATGGCTTCACTGGTGAATCCTACCAAACATTTAAAAGGAATTAACGGCAGCCCTTCCCGCACGCCAGGGTTCCCAGGTTCGCATCCCACCTCCGAGACTCGCAGTGCGTGGGCATGCTGTGATGCCTCCAGCTGAGACTTGGTGAGCTGCAGCTGCTCCTTCAACATGTCGATCTCCTTCTGGAGCGTATCGGTCTGCTCCTTTTTCTTATACTCTGGTGCAACAGAAATATCTTGTTAATCTATGAAACCTGCGCTTAGGAAACCTATCTGCCAACTTAAGGGGTGGAGTTCTATTGATAAGACAGAGGAAATGGCTCTTACTTGGGATATTACTCTTTTTTGCCACATGAGCCCATTTTGGCTCCTTGGAGTTTATTTGCAGCCCTTTGCATTACTGGGCACTGAATTATTTTTAGCAGATTCTTTCAGCCATTGGGTAGAGGCTGGATTATTCCACATTGATGGTGTGAAGCCCATTCAGGGAGCAGTAACGGTGACAAAGAAAATCCCAGGCCCTTCTTCAAGATACCTATTTTGATCCAAGAAGGGAAGCGATGGCTTCCACTGCGGTACCACCCCACTGAAACCTCTACGGTCACCATCCTTGTGCCCTCACCAAGCCCCCCTGCGAACCCCACTGGGGCTAAGACAGGCAGAGGCTGGCGTTCGAAACGCAATCTCGGGCCGTAACCTGCCGACGGGGCGAAAACGCGGTACTGAAAAGTGGTAAGAGGAAGCAACAAGTGAAAGGAGGAATATTTATGTACATGTACTTACATGCAGATGTACACATGACTGAATGGATATACATGTGTCTGTGAGTGTAGACATGAAAGGTATGGAAACCAAAGTAGAAAGTCAGAATCTCAAAGATGACCGGAAGAAATAATACTCATTTCAGAGTGTGAAGCGCGCTCTGAAACGAGTATGAGATAGAATAGGATACTGAAACAGAAGAGAGAGAAAGTCAGTTTCACACTGAAGAATGGTAGGTTAATCCAAATATTTAATCTTTTCAACTTCTCTAATATACTGCTAAATTGTATTGGTAGTCCATGGCTTACAGGTGGAATTGTATGCTGTTCATATGGTTTACACAAAGCCTGGCTATTTCCTAAATAAATCTATTTACCTGAAATAGGCAGAAATGGAAACAGATTGGCTCAAAAGGGCGGGGAAAGCCGGCACTGAGGAACAAGCTAGAAGTACACACGTTCAGATACTAAAACTGTGTAAGATCGTAACGAGAGTTCCTGTGCATTACTGCAGCGATCTGCAGAATGCTTTGATCTGCTCATGGAGAAACAGACCTTATGTTCTTTCCTTTTGAGAACAGTTCAGTACCAGAAAACCTGGTTCCTTGATACGCTGCAGAACCCTTCCCCTCTCTTGCTTCCTTAGTTTCTCCCTCTACATACTGGTTAATTCACATCAATACCCAAACCCATATGAGTATCTCCCACATCAAACAAGATAGACATTTCCCCTCGGTCCCCCATTTCCCTCCAGGAAACGCCTATCCCTCTGCTCTCCCTCCCAGAAAACACTATTGAAATAAACGTCTGTCCTCGACGTGCCTGCTTCCTCGCCTGACTGTTGGCTCAGCTCACTCCGGTCAGGCTTTTGACCCCACCAATCCACCGCAGCTGCGAGGTCAAGGTCACCAGCAGCCAATTCTCAGCCTTCATCTCACTCTGGGTCTCAGGAACATTTGATACAACTGACCACTGTCTCCCTTTTGGAAACCCCAATTTCCCGTGGTGTCCCGGATAACACCCTCCGCAGGTTCCCCTCCGGCCTCCAAGCCGCGTCTAACCCAGCCGCTCCCCCAGAGCACCTAGTGTTCGCAGAGCCTTGGAGCGGGCCCTTAGCTCTCTTCTCTGTCTAGCTGACCTCATCCGGCGCCGCTCTGCTGAGGACTCCCAGGTGCGTATCTCCAGCCTGGGCCTCCCCCTTGACCTCCAGCCTCCAGCCTCTCCACATGCGTGGCAGTTGTACGTGTGATTTACGTTTACCCACGGCCAACACAAACTCTCCATTCTCCCTCCTCCCTCAACCTGCTTTGGCCCCAGGTTTCCCGGCATGGTAAACACCACTGCCATTCATCCGAAGAGACAGTCACAAACCCAGCACCACCTTGGCTTCATCTTTTCCTCTCACGCTGAGCCACATCTCTGCGGGTTCTGTGTCTGGAACATGCTCTCTCTGTCTTCACTTCTCCCACGCTCCCTGGGACCCTCCTGGTCCCGTTGCCATCTCTCACTTGGGCTGCTCTTGCAGGCTCCCCACTCTTGCACCTGCTTCCACCACTGTCCCTACAGACTCTTCTCCAACAGCCAGAGGGCTCATTCTCAGGTATGAATTAGATTGAGTGCCCTGCCCCCCGCCACAAGCGCCAGGGGCTTCCCATTGTGCTCAGAACACCCCACATTCCTTCCTGCCCAGGGTGTTCGAGGCCCCATGGGACCTGGCTCCTCCCTCTCCCGCGTCACCGCACGTCACACTGCCTTGCTCACTCCACTCCATCGACCTTCTGTCTGGTCCTCAAACACACTGTCCTGCCTCCCCCTCACACGCCTCACCCTCAGAGGTCCCTCTGCCTGGGATAGTTACTTCTCTGATTTTCCCCAGCCTGGGACCTCCTTGTCGTTCTGGTTTCTGATCAGATATCACCTCCTCCGTGAAGCCTTTGCTGATGACCCAAAGTCACTCTCCACCCCATTCTCCAGATTTATTTTCTTCATTTTAAAAGAATCACTCACTCACGTAAGTGTGTTTTCCCCGCCCCTCCTATTAGAATGGAAGGCCCATTAGAATGCAGGACTCAGTCCGTTTCCCTTGGGGCTATATCCCCGGACCCCTGGTACAGTGCCTGGCACATAGTAGGGGCTCAATATTTACTTCGTGAATGAACGAGGACAGCGAGACTTTCTTTTTTTTTTTTTTTTACAAGAATCGAGAAATGCATGGGACCAGGCCTCCCTTGAAAAAAGAAAAAGTTCCCAGAAAGAAAACGGCTCATTCCAGCCGAGCTGAGGACTCACCAAGGTGAGAATCTTCAGGATGGCGGCGCTGAACATGACTCTGTAGAAAGGCTTGGTTCATAAAGGCCTTGTCACAAAAATGGCACTGGAAAGGAGAGAGCAGCAAGTCAAAGGGGCTGTGACGAGGGTCCCTCCCTCGTCATTTCAATTAAAATTGAATCCAGGGATGGCCCACACCGACTCAGTTGCAAGTGTGAGCTCTAGGGCCATGCATAGCACCAGGGAAAGAAAATGATGAGACACCCTGGATGTAACTTTTAATTTCTAAAAATAATTTTAATTGAATCTCATTTCAATTAAAATTCAGGTACCCGAAGCACCCCCTCTTGGAGGCTTTCCCCCCAGAGATAGAGTTCTGGCAAGGGCAGAAAGCACGACTCAAGAGACAAGTAGAGAATGAGGGTGTTCTTCTCACCCGGAGCACAAGGCCGCGGAGACATTCACGCAGCAGTTACAGTGGCCCATCGTGGTGCTTTCTGGAACCTTAGTGCTATTCCTATTAGGCTGGCGGTGCCCAGCCTACCACCGCCAACTGTTGGGACATTCCGTGTCCCAACAGAAGATGCTAGTCTTCTTTCTGTCTCTCCGGCTGGTCCCCTGCCTGAATCCTCCCCCGCCCTCGCCGTGACCGACTTCTTCCTGACAGGCAGGATGTCGTTTATGAAGCACTGGGGGGAACGGTGGCCCATCCTCAACCAGGTCTTTGAGGAGGAGCCTTCTGCCAGTCACTGTCCCAGTACATGGTCTTATTTTCATCACTGAACCTCTCACCAGGTATCAGTTACATTTGCACGTTTATTTACTTCACTTGTCTATGGTCTCCTGCTGGATCCTTAGTCCCTGAGAGTGCTGACTCCTGTCTGTCTTATTCACAGCTTTGTCCCCGGAGCCAGGCATTGATAAATGATTAGGCAAATGCTCAGAAATATTTGGCTTCCTCATGGGAATTTACTGGGGGAAAAAAACCCCATCAATTCCAACAAATCTGTTTTCCACTTCAACACTAATTCAAAATGTGAACAAAAATTCAACTCGTTTCACCTATATCCTTACCCCTGGACTACTGTGAAGTAAATCTTGGATATTATATATTTCATTTGTCAATATTTCAGAATTTAACTCTAAATGGACTTTCTTTAACACCAATACAATCATTATCTCGCCTTTTAAAATGTGAATATTAATTCCTTAGTAGCAACAAATATCCAACCATTTGGTTCACCCCCCCCAATATTTCACACATTGTCTTAGAAAAAACATTTATAGTTTGTTTTGAGTCAGGATCTAAATAAAGTCATATTTTGCAATTGATTGTTATGTCCCTTAATTCTCTGTCAGTCTGTTGCTTGCCCTTCCATCTCTTTTTTCCTTGCAATCCTGTTACTGAAGAAACAGAACATTTGTCCTGCAGAATGTCCCTCAGCTTGGATTTTGCTGTTGCATCTCCATTGTGCTCTTTACACGCTCTTCTATTCATGCACTGCCTTCCTCTTAGTCAGCTTAGTCGGCTGCATCAGGACCTCAGGTTCCCGTCTCCCAGAAAACTAACGCATTTATGCCTATTTCTCAGCACTGCATGTTGGAGAATCTCTGCAGCCTTCTCCGCTCAGGGAGGATGTTCCGATACTTTGGGGATGGCCCACACTGACTCAGATGCAAGTGTGAGCTCTAGGGCCGTGCACAGCACCAGGGAAAGAAAATGATGAGACACCCAGGACGTAACTTTTAATTTCTAAAAATAAAAAAAAATATTTTAACTATTTGAATAATACAGAGGAGTCATGAGCTCAGGGGAAGAAGGGGTTCCTATTCCAAAAAGAAAAGACTGACATGTTAACTACATGCAAATGAAAAATTGCTGTATGACAAAAAACATCGAAACAAATCTAAGAGGTTTACAGTGCCTGGATTAGCATGTAGAGAGCTTGAAAATCACCCCTCCATCCTAACAACAAGTCCAAAGCTGGACTGAAAAATCAACTCTTCTTGGATACGTAAGAGTGGGAAGGACGCAGGGCAAGCCACTGCCCCAAGCTCGGAGAGACTGGGAGTCACTGCACACCAGAGCCGAGGCGCCCCAGCAACCGCCCCGCCCCCACACCCCGCAGGGACCAGTGCAGGGCAACAAAACCGACTTTGTAATCGACAAACTAATGGAGCTCCAAGTGGAGGGTTTGAGAGTTCAAAACTCCAGGGGAGGGGAGAACTTTCAACTTGATGAAGACCAACAAAAAACAACATTTCCACTGTACCAGCTGAGAGCTAGGCCCTGTTACATCATTCTCTTTTGAAATTTTCATAGACTTACTGAAGAAATCAAAGCTCAGGAAAATTAAGTTACAGCATTATCAGTTGCATATTTTAACCAATGTTTCGCTGATTGCAAAATGCCTGCTTTTTCTACTCCTCAAGGCTGCTCTCCAACTCCAGGGAGATGGATAAATTGGAAACAGTAACAGAAATTAGCTGGCAGATTCCAAAATCTGCCTGTGTTGCTGAGCACAGAGAGGAATCTGAGTCCTCCAGCCATGAAAATGAAAAGGTCTTCTCAGAATGAGTCTAAGTGCTGTTACAGTGTACTAGTATTTTAAAATTTTTAACTTAAACATTTGCTAGATCCTTGGTTCACACAGGCCTTCACCCATCAGACTTCACCAGCGACTGGAGGTCTCTGTTTAAACACCAATCCATGACTGTATGCTAAAGTCACATGACTATTTAAACAAAATCAACTGTCTTCCCATGAATTTGTTGTACGCCAAATATCCCCAGCTTATGAAACTGGAGTTTCAATGACACGTGGAACCCCAGCGAGGTAGCTTACACACCAACTATTTTTAGCAACAGTCTTTGACTACCTCCTCCCCCTTGGAATCACTGATTCTTACGGCATCAGCAATGTGGTCTCTGGCCTTCTTTTCTACCCCCTACTCCAGGTGAGCTCCTGAAAAAGGCCTGAGGATTTGCAAAGCGATCATAGGTAGTCACAGCTCACTACTGGGAAATTGGAGCAGAAATCAGCATCTGTATGTCAGGTGCTATTTACCGAGCCTTCCTCATGCTTCACATGTAACATCTTCTGGGGTTCTCAGAACAACCTGAAAAGGTAGCTACTAGTAACATTCCCATTTTCCTGATGAGGAAACCGAGGTTTAGAAGTTAAATAAATGACTTGCAGAGTGGAACCGCTAGGATGCAAAAGCAGGCAGTTTACTCTGGAATTGTCACCTTAAAGTGCCCACACTGTTCAAAGAGATAATATCAAGCCACTTAATAGAGAGCAAAAGTGTCCTACTGTGTTGGAAAAGGTGGTCTGGTCCCTTCTATCTCTTCTCTGTCACACCTGCGCGCCCCACACAGCTAACACTGTTACTGAAGAGTCCTCTGAGTGGCCTAGAGTAGGCAGGTGTAACTCATTTCATAAAACTGAACCAGTACCTTTTAATCCTCATATATCATTCACATTTGAAAATCTTGATTTACCAACCATTTCTATGGTAACCAAAAGAGTGAAAAAGTATTTATAAATGATAAATTTCTATGTGTTATGGGTCTTAACGTTTCACTATATTACTACCAATCTTTTTAAAGTAAATTTTTAACTTTTAAAAATAAACTGATAAACTTTTTAAAATATTTAAAAATATTCATTATATTCCTTGTATAAGACATACCTTTATAAAGAGCTGTTTCAGTACTATTTATAAATATCTACATTTTAAATAGCATTTATGAAATAGGCAATTAGCAACATCAAGTATCATTTGACAGTTATACCTCAGAGTTGTGTACCCAAAGCTAAACACTAAGCTTGCCTCCCAGTATTCTTTCCCACTGTTCACGTCTTTTAAATACCCTTCTCTCTGTATTCCTGTTGGGTCAGTCCTAAGCGCTATTAACCCCACCATTTTCTGCACCATATACCCAGTTCTCTGTATTCACTATCACCTAAATCCACCAAGACCTTTTAAGCCAGGGGTGACCAACCTTCTGGCATCTCTGGCCATACTGGGAAGAGAAGAGCTGTCTTAGGCTACACATTAAATACACAAACACTAATGAAAACTGATGAGCAAAGAAAAAAAACGTCTGTGCATAATTTTCGTGATATCGGCCACCACAGATAAGCACAAAAGTCCTCACATAATAAACCTCGTGATGCAGCGGCCCTTTCAATAAGCTTTTAAAATCATCGAGCAGGTCCCAAGTTTGTGATCGCTAATATAGAAAATGTACATAGCTAAGTAATAAAACTAACGTTTTAAGTAAATTTACGATTTCGTGTGGGGTCGCCATTCATAGCCACCCTTGGCCACGTGTGGCCTGCGGGCTGGACACCCCTATTTTAAGCCATGTTTAATCAAATGACTAGAATCTACGGGTCTGAAGTCAGTCCTGTCCATCCGCTGCTTACGTCGATATCTTTGGCGAAGTAAGCTGGCCCCTTTTAGTTGGTAAAAAGGATGTATACCATAATTTCTGTTAGATTGAAAAGTTACAATATTTATCTTGAGTTTACTGTCCAACCCCTAACAGCTGGAGATTAACAACAGAAAAGCAACATTTTTTAATTTTTAAAACACTGTTGTTATATGATTGTTCTTGTTCTTAGGAAATAGACACTTGGAAATATTTAGGAATCCGCAAAAAATGTGGCAAATGTGAATAACTGGTGAATGTGGATGAAGGGTATTGGGAAGAATAATGCTTTTGCATTATTCTTGCAACTTTTCTGTCAGTTTGTAAAGATTTTGAAATTAAAAAAAAAAAATAAGAAAAATCCACAAATGTAATCATTCCAGATCGTTTGGGGGCCACCGCCACAGAGTTTGCACATGGTTCTTTTGTCATTAAACCGATGAGAAGGAAACAGCTCCTTAAACCACCACTACTTACAGGACTTAAATAAAGCACTGCAGAAACGTTACCCGTTTAATCATTAATCCTATGGTAGTCTACTGAAGGTAACGAACCATGTCATCCGCTGGTTCAAGTTACTGTTTTGGTTCATTTAAGTATGCTGTTTCTTCTTATTTATAGTACAAATCTTAACAACCAAACAAAACAGCGATAAAACGGGCTCTCGGTATCCCCGGGGGAACCGAGGTCTTTGGGGGGTTAGGAATGGCCCTCGCAGCGCAGCTGCCCACCTGGTAATAGCTGGCTTTGGCCTCCATCATCATCTGCTGAGTGGAGATCATCTTTTTGCGGCGCTTGCACTCCTCCTTGAGGAACTTGATCTCCCCGGCCTGCTTGGTGAGCAGCTCTTTGCTCTGCTCGCAGTTGGCCAGGCTCAGGCGCAGCCGCTCCTCCACGTTGTGCAGCTGCGAGGTGAGGAACTCCTGCGAGTGCATCAGGTACTCGATGGAGAGCTGCGCCAGGCGGATGAGCTTCAGCAGCACCGGGTCCACGCCGGACTGGCAGTGCGGGCACTTCTCGTCCTCCAGCTTGCAGAAGGTGATGTTCATGATGTTCTCCTGCAGCGTGAGCACGTCCACCGCCCCCGCCACCTTGTCCACGTCGATGGCGCTCAGCCGCCGCCAGTCCACGCTCTCCAGCCGCGGCCGGAACTGGAAGAAGGGCAGGGGGCCCGCGGCCGCGCCGGGCGGGAAGCAGGCCATGGCGGCCGCGCCGGCCGCGGCCCCTGCGGGGGCGTCAGGACCCTCGAGGCCGCTGGCGAGCGGGTAGTAGACCTGCTTGTGGAAGGGCTGCGGGAAGGACACAGGGCGGGGGTGGCGAGGCAGCGGTGAGCCCGTGCCCGCCACCCCGTCGCCGCCCCCAGCCCGGCATCTGCTGGCGGGTATCCCGGGCCTGTGAGCCCCTTACCATGCTTGGAGGCCGATCGGCCACCTCTGCCGGCATCGGAGAGGACGGTCTCGTCCGCGGAGCTCGGGCTGCCTCCCGCACCGCTGCCGCCCCACCCCTCGGCAGCAGGCGAAGGCGAGGTCCCAGCAGGCAGCGGCGGCGGCGGCCTCGAGGCTGGGCGCTGAAGCCGTTGCTATGGGAGCGTCCCCGGACGCCCGGCCTGCGAGCAGCGCGCCCGCGGCCACGGGGAGCAACGCGCTCGCCGGCCCCCCCGCGTGGTCAGCGTGCGCCCAGGGCCCTGCGGACCAGAGAAGACCTCTTGGACGAGCCTGAGTGGATGCCCCCGTCCACCCCGAGGGGCCACCTCCCGAGCGCCTGCTTCCCGGGGCGCCACCCTGTCCGACCTTTGGGCAGGACAAGCCAGGTCCCTGAAGCGGGGGATCCACATCCCTGGGACCTTGGCCATCCCCACTGTTCTTGCCTTAGGGCTTCAAATCGGACATACCTATTCATTCTCATTTTTCTTTTTTTATTACGCACCTCAGAAAATATTAAGCAACGGAACTATGAAGAACTACATGGGATGGACAGGGAAAGGCTGCCAAAAGGCACAGGGACACTCTGGGATATAACAAAAAATATTTTGTATTTTGATTTTTTTTTTTCGATTCCCTGGGCATATACATTCGACAAAATTTATCGAATAGCACGCTGAAAATTAAGCGTGCATTTTGTATATGATATTGCCATAGAGTTTTAAAATTAAATTCGTGGTGTAGTTCATTCTCTTTGATGGTAGGCTTTCTAAATCTGTTACATGGAAAGTACTAACGGAGTCTTTCTTCCTCTATGGGTCGGCCACCTGAGTTAACATTCTGATAGAAATACAAACCAAAGCACTTCCCCAAATATTTAATACTTTGTCTTCCCAAAAAGATGTATTTTCAAAATGTGAAGGTAAAAAAAAATTTTTTTTTACATGGAAAGGAATTTAACTATCAGCTTCACCATCAAGTTTTACAGGGCCCTCGTATCTACCTTACAAACTTGTGTGGCAGCTGCATTCTGGTTTTGGTTTTGTTTTGTTTTTGTTTGTTTATTTGTTTTTGTTTTGGAGAGGCTAACAAATTTCTAGCAGCAACTTTTGGACCTCAGGCCTCTCATCCTTGGGGTCTTCTGAGGGCTGCCTGTGGCTACCACAGAGACCAATGAGCTGAGGAAAAGCCAGACATTCCTCAATCCACCGGGGAGCCCCAGCTTGGACCAACCGTCAGGAAAACTTTTGTCTTTCCTAATAGTCAAAGAACAGAAGAAAGAAAAATACGGGTCAGAATAACCAGAAGTAAAGCTGTAATAGCAAATATCGTTACCACTTTCCAGATAATGTAACTAGAAATAAGCCCATGTAAAAGCATCCAGGAAACAAGCATGCACTTGCTATGACTTCACCGGAATCATACACCCACATAACGTTGAGTGGAACTTTGGGGGGCAAAGAGCTGTCACGGATTCACTGCCGCCGGCATAAAGCTTTAAAGATCTAGGCTCAGAGTTTGAGTCTTCTATTCACTTGCTGCCTGACCTAGAACAAGTTATGTCGGCCGTAGGCCTCAGCTGTCCATCTGCTTAAAGGGCGTCAGCAAGTGTACCGACCTGGCAGTTCTGGGAACTGTGGGCTCCATCCACTGGGCTGCAGGATCAACGGGAACAAGGGCCCGGGTCTCTCGCTCACCGTTATATCCCCAGCACCTAGGATTGGGCAGACAGGCAGAGGCCTTATTAATTTCCTGAAAGGACACATGGATAAAGAATGATCAAATGAATTAGGCCTTTAAAGGAAATGTTAGCTCTCAGCCCTTATCCCTCCTTATTTTCTGGGCCTCTGGCCTGTTAGGGAGAGTCACCCGTGCTCTGCGACCAAGGCCTTGGAACTGAATGTGGCAGACTGTCCGCACGCCCCCACTGCAGTCCTGGGAAAGGCACGCGGGCCCGAAGCACCCATCTCTGTTCGCCGCCACCCATCTCTGTTCGCCGCGGGGCTGGCCATCCTCGCCCTTTGATCGAATCTCGTTCTCAAGATGGCCGGAACAGTAAAGAAGGGGGCACGCTTTCCCCTTCCCTCCGCCCCCCATCCCCAGGCAGGGCGGCCAGCAGGACGCGCCGCGGGGCCGGCTCCCGAACCCGCAAAGACAAAGGCCGGAGGACGCGGGCGCCAGTGGCGCCGCCTCTTTGGAGGCAAATGGGAACCGGGGCTGCGGCAGCCACGCCAGCGGGGTCTGCAGCGCCTCTGCTCACAGCCAGGGGAAGCGGGAGGAGGGCCCGGCTTAGCAGATACCAAGATGCCCATGGGCGCCTTGGCGCATCCCAGGCCTTGGCTCACCCCAGCTGCGCGCTCCAGGGCGGGCTCCAGGGTGGGCGCCGGGCGCTGCAGGCGGACGGGGGCGACGCTGGGGACCCCAGAACCCAGGCGCGCTGCTGGTGCAGGCAGGCAGGCTGAGGCCCAGGAGCAGCCAAGCGGGAAGCGGCGAGTCGGCTCCTTCCAAGATGCCTGTCTGGTCTGGGCAAGTTGTGGCGAGGCAGGCCGCCTGGCGCGCCTCCGGGCCCTCCCAGACTCCAGGCCGCTGGCGCCGCGGGATCCCCCACCCCCCTCCCGCCCCCCTCCCCTCCGCGATCCTCCTCCGGCCTCTTCTCTCGGCGTCCCAGCTCCTCTGGCAGCTGGGCGGGACCTTGCACATCTAGACTGCAGCGCTAAAATGCGCTCCTCCAATCCCGCGGTTGGTGCAGACACGTGGTGCGGGGGCCGCTCTTGCTGGTGTGGGATCCTCTCCCCAGGAAGGCTTTTCAAAGGGAAAACACATTCACTCTACCCCTACGCTTGGCCTGGCCTTCGGCTGGCTAATTTCACATGGGGGCGTCATGTAAATTCACTTCCAAGAAGTTCTTTTTAATCGCAAAAATCTGCACATGCAAGGGACTTGAAGAAGCTGTCTCATGCAACCCTGCATTTGAGTGATGTGGAAAACGGTTTAGACATTTTGCAGGTGAAGCACACAAGGTTTCCCATTTTCAGCGTCACTTTCCTTTATGCCCACGTCAGGAGGAGAGGCAGGCATCCCTCTTAGCAGAAAGTTCCACGGTGCGGGGATGGGGGGCAGGGAAGAAGTCATGGGTCAAGAGTAGTGTGACTATTTTTTTTAACCTACAATTGGAACACGTGGACAATGGGGCAAAATTCAGTGTTTTAGAATAGTGAGCAATCCAGAAAGTTTACATTGTAACAACCCAGAGGTTGAATCAGACTGAGAAATTTGAGTCCATATTTTGCACAATCTTAGTGTCTGCTGCAGCAAAAACTGTTCTTCAATTAAAAGAGTAACTACAGAATTTTTGCTGGATGACAACAGGTTGCTTGTGCTTTGCCCTGAGTCAACTTTGTACCATACTTCATTTAGCGCGATTTGTCAAAGGTCGCAATCCCTCACTAAGTATTTATGTTGAATTCCATGCTTTAGTTTGTACTTGCAATCATAAGGCCTTGGACAGCCTTAGTGTGATTTTTTAATTTGCCTAATTTTAAAATGCTTAAATTTGAAAGAGAATCCAAGATCATTCTAAAAATTCTCTCAAGTGGTATGGCATAGATTTCTAGATAGATGTTTCAGGCACTATGAGGTAGATAAGGCTAATGCCCTTTGTGGGTGTGTGTGTGTGTGGGTGTGTGTGTGTGTGTAAGATGATTACTTATTCAACTCACCCAGATAGCACTAAGGCAGCAATTTTCAACCGTTGTGCTGCAAGAATCTTTTAAAATATGCAATACCAGACTATTTAGTCAGGAGTACTAACCTCTTTTCCTTTCGATTGTCAAATTAAAAAAAAAAAAACAATGACAGGAGCCAACACAGCGATACCTATTGGTGTGAATGAGTCAAAATTATACCTATGTTTTTGTGAGGTCAGCAAAAAAATATATTTTTTGGTGTGCCGCAGAGTTTTAGTAATTAGTGTATGTATGCCATGAGATGGAAAAGGATGGAAATCACTGCACTGAGAGAGAAGATTGCAGTTGTTTCATGAATAACTTCCAATATCCAAACCAATCCATGGCGAGACTTTGGTTATGCAAAAATAAGGCAACTGCTCAAAATAGTTTAGCACCTGTAGGTGTATGTATTTTCTTTCTTTTGGGTATAAATATTTTGGTTTGCCCCTTAGTTTTCAAGGAGAGAAACTTTATAACAAATGTGTCACCTTTTTAGCTGACTTAATTGGATGAAAAAGGTCAAGATGTATGGGCATATCTGCCGGTGGAGATCAATCATAGAGATGACAGTAATAGAGCCAATAGAGCATCAGAAGGCAATATGCTAAAAACATAACAAACCACCTGGGGAAATGGCGGGGGCAGCTTGGGCTAGGATGGAATCACCTCAGCTGCTGTCAGGACATGGGACAGGCCCACTAGGAAGGCGTTCTGTGCTTGCTGAACTGAAAGGACCTAGGAAGCAAATGTATTCCAGTGTGTTCAAAGGTCCTTTTGAATTCATTCAGAAAATGAAAATGTTCACTTTTTATGGAAGATTAAATACAAAAAAATTGCAGTATGATTTGCAAACTCAGATTGAGAGACTCTCCAACATAGCTGGCCTATCAAAAGTGTTAAAGTCATAAAAGACAAGGAATGACTGAAATACTGTGTCAAATTAAGGGAATTTAAGAAACATGATGCTGGAATATAAATCATGATCTAGGATTTTCACTTTCTAGTAGGACATTATTGGGGCAAATGGCAGAATTTTAATAAAATTTGATACGAAGAATATTGTATCAATATTAGTTTCCCAATTTTGATACTTGTATTGTGGTATTGTGAGAGAATATTTTGTTTTTAGGAAATACACTCTGAAATATTTAGGGATACAGGGAATCGTGCCTACAACTTCCAAATAAATGAGAAGAGAGAAAGAGAAGGAATGATAAAACAAATGTAGCAATTGGTGACTGCATGAAGGGTCCAAGAAGACACTTTGTGCTAGCTTTGTAGCTTTTTTTCAATAGGATATGTCAATACATTTGTGTCATTTAAAGGAAGGCCAGAAGGAGGCCGTGTGGGCCTGTGTGGCAGCGCCGAGAAGTTGCTAGGCACCCAAGCTTCTTCCCGCTTTCTGCAACAACCTTGGACGTGCCCTGCCTCCTCGTGGTAGAAAATGGGCGCTGCAGTTTCCACGATATCCTCAATCCAGGCGACTGCAGGCGACTGCAGGGAGAATATCCTTGTAACTAACATGTAAGTGTCACGTTGTTAAAATTAAAAGTTAGGAGGAACGAGTGATATGTATAAAAACATTTCTTTTTACATGACGTTTTGATAATGAGATTAGCTGTCATAATGGAGCAGATGAGGGGCAGCTAACCACGTGTGCGTGCACGCATTCAGGCTCTTTCTCACACAAATATCACACACACAAGCTTGTGTACACGCACACACATAGGTATAAACTGCTTTCAGAGAGGGGTCACAGGGTGGAGAAAGTGGAAAAAAAAGGGAAGGACAGGAGAAGATGAATGTTTGGCTACTGACCCAGTCCTTCCAGGATGGCTTCTCTGCCACCGGCTCAGGGAAAGCCGTCCTCCCTCAGCCCCTATATCGGCCTCTCGAACTCCTTAGGGTAGAACAATACCCAAGTGGGAAGGTGGAGGAGCGATGCCAATTGGGAGGTTACTGAGACAATCCAATCTGAAAAAATTACAAATGAACAATAAATAAAACGCGGCCCCTGCCCAGGACAGGGAGGCAACATCAGCTTGACTTGCATGGGAACTTGGGACAGACTCAGGGCAGCCACACTTCCTCCCCACTATCGAGATGGCCTGGGAATTCCAAGGGAGGGCCAGGCAGGGGAGACCCCAGAGGAGGGCAGACTGTGGTGAGGGTCGGAAGCTTTAACTACCCAAACCACCAGTGTGGGCATGGGGATGGTGAAGGTCTTAGTTCAAGCCTGAAGCATCTCTAGCCGCCTCTGCACATGTTTGCTTTCTCCAGGAGGGAGCAGAACGGGCTGGTCCTTGGTCCGCATGGCGCTGGCAATGAGCGCAAAGGTGAATGACGTGGATTCTGAGGGGCCTGTAGTTTGTAGGGGAGCCGTGTCCAGTTCCAGGCTCCGGTGGGAAGCAGGTGGATGTCACCACGCAGGTTTAAGGAGCGTGAGCAGGACCTCCAGAACCTGAGGTGCAGCAAGTAACTGAGGACGCGGTGGGTGGGGCTAGCACTTCCCTCCAAAAAGAGGCCACGCTGCAAAAAGGCCATGCCTGAGGGGTCAAAGGTCACAAGGAACAGCTTCCCCACCGTGTGGTTGGGGTTAAATAAGGTCGCTTGGATGGTGACCACCTTGGGCACACTGTCACCCTTCCTCCCCAGGGGGTTTAGGTCTGTGATGCCCAGGAATGGGGCTGGGGCATTTTGCTCAGAAACATCCAAGACGGCGACTGTGACGGGCGGCGTAACACACCGAGGGCAGTAGGATCCACTAGTTCCAGTGTCTCCAGTGAAGCCCTCCATGTGTCCAGATGGTACAAAACATCCTCAAAGCAATGACTCTTCAAAGTTGCCCAAGAGGGCACTGCTGATGGCGAGGGTAGGAACAGGGTAGGCACTGGTGGGGCTCAGCAGGTCTGGGCCCTCGGGAGGCTCTGCAGGGAGCTCAGCCTCAGGCGACGGGCACCTTTCAGTCTCTGCCCCATGGGGCTGCAATCTGTTGGGTCCCGCACAGGCTCCTTGGGCAAGGCAGCAGGTGGCTCTAGAAGGGTGTGGCCTTGGCATCAGAACTGCTGGCAGCAGGAGGGTGACCCAGGGGTCCCCGGTGCCTCTGAGGGGCTGGCCCCTCCCCCTCAGAGCCGACATCCGACATCCGGGGCTTCTCCAGCAGGAAGCAGCCTTGGTAGGGCAGGGGCCTGGAGGGCCAGAGGGGATGTGCTCAGCACTGTGGCCACGGGCAGTGCCAGGGGACTCCCTGGGCTAGGGGCTGCCCGGTGGCCACGCCAGCCACTGGGCTCTTGTCTTCTGTTACACAAGACTATGCAAATCTATGTGAAGTGTGTGCAGTGGGCCTGGAGGAGCTCATGCTGGGGAGTTTCCCAGGGGCCTCTGTCCCGCCTGGATCTGGGGAAGCCCAGTCTCTGGTGTGCAAAGTATTACAGGAAGCATTTGATGGGGGCCGGCGGGGAATCTGGGCCCTTGAAGTCTAAGGTGAGGTGTGTTCTCTAACACACAGGCTGTCATGGCAGAAATGCGGGCTGGCCGCACACAGCCCCAGCCCCAGCCCCAGCCCCAGCCCCACTCCCAGCCTCTCTGGGCCTAATAATACCCCACAATAGATGGTTCCTCAGGGGGTTGCCCCTCTCTGGCCCCCAGCCAAGGGCCTCGCTTCAGTTCCCAAGGACCCTCAGTCAGCCAAAAGGACCGTGTCAGGGCCCTGTGAGGCTTGGAGGCACCAGCCAGAGAGGACAAGATGTGGTTACCTGGTAGACTCTGGGGGATGTCGCCCCTCCTCTTAGGCCGTAGCCCAGGAGCAGGCCACCTTGGAGGACACCCTGCCTGACTGCAGCTGTGAAGGGCCAGCCTCTGGCATTGAGGATGGAGATGACTCTGCCTCCACGTGGTACATGAAGTCCCTCCCTGGTGGGTGGAGGTGGGGGCGTTTCCCTCACAGCCTTTACGCTGGGCCTGGGCTGGAGGGCCTGGGGACAGCCCCATGAAGAGGGCGTAAGCCTGGCTGAGTGCTCCCTCTTCCTGACTGATGCCTTGCTCTCCTGGCTTGGCATCTGGTCCATGAACAATGCACTAGCAAGGGGACTGCCACCATTCCACGCAGCCGCTGGGCTCAGTTGGACCCCCGCTCCCAACTGGCTCTGCCATGGTGGTCGTTGTTCTGGGCCTCTCCGTCCCCCTGGAATCCCCAGTCCTTCTCAACATGGACCCCCGACCCAGACAAAGGTGAACCTTTTATATTTTATGTTCTCTTGCTAGCTGGTGTTTCCAGAGCCTAAACAGCTATCAAAAATATTTTAGTCTGTACTTTTGTATTGGAATTAAAGAGTAATCAACTGAATGAAGGTAACCTTATTACTCACTTGGTCCTACTACTATCTACCGCATTTATTAGCACTGAAACACCATGACACGTTTGTTTGCTTCTCTCCATTTCTGTAGTTACCGCCAGAGTTCAAACTTCCGTCACCTTTCACCTGGCCTTGTGCCATAGCCTCCTAACTGGGCAACCTGTTGATTCCTCTACAGCGTATTCTTCACACAGCAGCCAGAGTGACCTCTTCTAAATCTAGATCCAATACGGCCAGAGGTCTGCTTAAAACCCTCTGATGACTTCCTGTTTTTATCAGAATAAATTAAAAACTCCCTTTTAATAGCTTAATTTCCGTTCTTAGAAGTTCTTTAGCCCTATTTTTATTCTTAAAACCAGAATCGCAGGCAGCATTCTGGTGTTGATTCATGGTCCGGTTTTATTTGTTTACAAAACTCTTTCCTCACTAGATTCAGCATTTTGTTGGCTGCCTTGACCCCAGTACATCATTCTGATGATGTCTTCACTAGCTTCTTGTGGATATTAAAATCACCTGCTGTTTTTGTCATTAATATCACCTGTGATGTCAAAAGGACAAGGGCAAACCAAGTAAATAAATAAAATCCCAAGGAATTTCCAAAGAGGAATTTCTTCCATTATTTTATTAGGATGAGTAACATTTACTTTGTAATTTACAAGAAACTTTACACTTCACGGTACCTCACAACAAATCTTTGAGGCAATCAGGATCCTATCCACTGTACAGTAAAGGTAATTTCGATAATAGCCATGGTATGGGATTATACTTCCTGGATCCGAATCCTCTGCGTTTCACATTGTATTATACTCCTTTCCACCACAACTAATCAGGGACGTGGGCTGTTGTTTTTCCTCCCTCAAAACCGTTTCCTTTGCCTTTCCCTTTGGAATAGAAACTTTGTTTTTACTTTCCTTTGTGTAGCTTCAGGAAATCAGGAATTCACTATGCTATTGGGCTGGCCAAAAAGTTCATTTGTTTTTTCCTGTTAAGATAGCTTTAGTAGCATTTAGTTGTCTTTAACTTCATTTGAAACAATTTTGTTAGACTGCATTGTGACAGCTCATATCAGCATGCATTAAAAAAAACAAAATTGGTGAATTTTTGTGTAGTTATTTTAATATTAACCATGGCAGAAAATACGCCACACTTTCAGGGGATTATGCCGTATTGTTTCAAGAAAGGTAAAAATGCAACTGAAATGCAAGATTGTTGCAGTGTATGGAGAAGCTGCTGTGACTGATGGAACTTGTTAAAAGTGGTTTGCAAAGTTTCCTGCTGGAGATTCCTCGCTGGGTGATGCTCCAGGGTTGGGTAGACCAGCTGACGTTGATAAGTATCAAATCGAGACATTAATTGAGAACAACCAATGGTATGCCACGTGGGAGATAGCCGACATACTCAAGTATCCAAGTAAATGAAGTTATTGGTAAAAATGAAAAATGTGTCTTTCACGGAAAAAACTAAACGGACCCAATATTTATAATTCAAGAGTTCTTCTAAAGTGTGAAGTAGTAACAAGGTAACAAATACCTACGCACTGGTCAAGTTTGCACTTGACAATGCTTAACACAGAAAAACATCGCCGCTGTACCCCACGTAAAACACCACTGGTGTCTAGTGTGCATGTTGGAGATGCCAGGTGAAGTGGCTGGGAACAAACCTAATGCCAACTTAAGTAACCCGAACTTTATCTTGTTCCAGTTCTTATCTCTTTTGTTGACTCTCCTCTGATGACCTCAAGATACAAAAATCCCTTCTAACAGGTTTTTTCGCGGCGCCCGCCCCGCCGTTGTAGCTGACGTAGAGCCCCTTGCTCTCTCAGCTGCCGCCGCTCCCTGGTTTCTTCCTCACAGACTCGAGGATTCTGCTCTTTTGCGGACACGCTGGTCCACTGGACGGTCGGGGTGGGGATGGGGGGAGGGGAGGGTTCCCAAACTTCGAAGCCATTCTCATTTCGTGCCTTCGGTCACTCGTGTACTTCTCTCTGGTTGTCCCTGAAATACATCGGCCTCTATCAGCTCACCCAGCGTCCCCTGACCCTTTCTTAGTTAGGGCTTTGCAGTTCAGTCTGTATTTGTTCCGAGGCGCCCAGCGGGAGGTAGTAGGCTCTGTGCTTCTTCGTGTTTACCTGTCCATTCAGAGATCTCAGTTCCAGGGGCTTTAAAGCTCCTCTTCGCCTTCCTGGGACGAGGTTTCGCCTTCTGATCCCGGACGCCGCGGCTTTACCTTCCTCTCCAGAGAGCACACCGGAAAACCTCGCATTGCTGACGTCCTCCGACTCCCTAACCTACCGTGCGGAGACCGACCCAAAAAAGACTCTTACAGCCCGCGCATGCGGACTCAGCAGCCGCCACCCAGCCAGCCCGGCTGCCTCCCTCCCGCCGGCCGAGGCGGTTTGAAGGTGCCTGACAGCTCCGCTGCGGCCGCACGCAGTCTCGTCTCGTGCTTCCACGTTATCCTATCAGGGACGGGGCGGGGCGATCGACTCCGCAGCCTATCAATGCGAACCACGACCCCGGCGAGCCCAGTAGAAGAGCGCCTAGGAAGAAGGCGATTGGGCCGTGGCGGCGCTTGGGCGTAGCGTCGCCCGGGCCCCGCCCACCGCTGCCTTCCTCTGGTGGGCGCCAGCTGCCGCTTAGGCCTGAGCGAGAGCCGACTTCGGGCGGGCGCAGCTGCAGCCTGAGCGCCAGCGGGGGCTGGTGGGCCCCGCTCTCTTGTTTTTCTCACCACCGCGCCCACGGACATGGTGGCCCTTGGCTCTGTGACCAGCCGACTGGGCTCGGTGTTCCCCTTCCTGCTTGTCCTAGTGGACCTGCAGTACGAAGGTAAGTCCTGCCGTGCTCTGGCGAGGGGAGCGGGTCCCGGGGTCAGGTCCCCTGGCATTTCCCCGCCAGCTCCCGGGCGCGAGTCTCGGGGCGGCCCGGGCGGCGGGCGAGAGCCGGGACTCCGCGTCTCGGCTCGGGCCTGAGCCCGCCCCTGGGTGGGCCGGTCCCCGGTTCCGGGTTTGTCTGGGGAAGAAGTGCCAGGACTGGCGGGCACGGTGCTGGAAGAGGGGATTTGGAGTGTCGAGCTGCTCCGAAGGGGTCCGAGGAGGCAGGGAGAGTAGGGCACGGGACAGAGACTGCTGGGGCGTCCTGGGGCGCGGAGACTTGAGCAGCTGTCGGATCCGGCCTCTCCTGGGACCCTCGCTTGGCGACTGGGGACACTGTTGGTCAGTGGTGCTGGAAGGAGGCGGTAAAGGTAGCCAAAGGCGAAGCTTCTTTCGCTCTGGAGTTCCGGGGATGGCCGGAGGAAGTATGTCCCGCTGAGTGAAGTGAAGGAGACGTGTTGACTGTTAAAAGTGAGTTTCCATCACGTTACTAATACCGTGTGCTCTGTAGAAGTTGTCAGGTTGGTGCGTTAAGGAACTGGTGTTGGAATTCAAGCTCCCGGAGGGCAAGGAACAAAGTTTGTGGTGTTACAACTTCTTAGCATGGTGTCGTTCAATTTAGGGCTGGCTTCCCTTTTACGAGTTTTCTGGGGGTGGGGGTGGCGGTGGAGGTGGGGGAAAAGTCCTCTTAAAAACGAACGTTTGCATTTCGCTCAAGCCCCACAGATTGGATTGTTGGCTTCTCCAACAGAATAGCAAAAAGAGAGAGCTGTCCCCTGTTAGGTATCAGCGGAGTAAGAACCAAAGCTGAAAGAGCTAGTTGAACTAATGCTTGTAGCTTGGTTACGGTGCGAAATAGTCGAGTATGATGACATACCAAATACACTGATCTATTTTCATTCCCGTGAAAAGAGCTGGTGGTTAAGGCGGTAAAGCTAAACATTTTAATATGAGACTTACTATCAGATAGAGGGAGTGAGGAGCTGAAGCCGGGAACTGTTTCTGGTTAAAATCCCCTAAAATTCTAAACTCAAAAAGCAGTACCTCCCAGTTTTTAATGTTAATGCATGGCCGTGGTTTGTTTATTTTTTATTGATTTGGCTCCCCTAGTGACTGTATATATTTTTTGAACTAAAAATCAGAACATGTATCAGGACAGCATTGGGACAGAGAATTTGACATTGAGGCTGCCCCAGAAAACCTAGAGAATTTGAATTTGAATGCCTGGACCACATTAATATGGGTCATGTATTCCAGTTCTCTTGCATTCTCTAATGCTAACCCCTGCCCTCCTCAAATGTAGCATTTATGTCCAGTTACATTTATGATTTATTTTGGCCACTTAGGAGATAGTTGTCTACATTGTTTAATGCCAGTCATTTTAAGTTGCAAAAGGTGCACACTTTTGTATGATGTGCTTTTCCCACTACCTTTTGGATTACCTTTTTAGAATTGCTGTTCTGTATATGATTCTGTAGGACGCTAACACTTCCTTTCCATCCCGCCATATATTCCATAAGAAAAAACCTTAGAGGAGTGCTTTTCTGTATAGGAAACATTGGTGACATTTGTCAAATGAGTGCCAGAGTACTGTCTTCTTTAAGAGCATTGCCTTCATAAAGTAGCAGGGACTTGGTACAGGTGGTAAGGAAGAAAGGAAAAGGATCTTAAGTCTATTAAAGGTCTGCTGTGTGCCAGCCACCTTTCTGTAGGTGATCTCTTATTTATGGAGATATGTGATATTATTTCTACATTACAGATGAAGAAACTGAGACTCTGAGTTTATTTGACCCTAAGGTTTCTCTGTGTACAGACTGGAGATAGAAGTTAAGTGGTTGACAGCATAATGTGGGCTCAATAATTTGTAAGTGGTGGCAGCTGAGAAAAATCAGAATTTTTTGATTGTTTGCTGCTAGTGGTAATGAACAAGAAGGTGATTTCCTAGGATGTTTAATACAGAGGCTCTCAACCTTGAGTGTGCACAAAGGTCTCACCCTGGAGGGCTTTTAAAACCAGAGTTCAGAGCTCCACTCCCAGAGTTCCTGATTGAGTAGATTTAGATGTGCTGAAATTCTGCATTTCTAAAAAGGGATCACTGATGAGAATAACTGGTATAATAATTTATATAGAGAAGTTAAATTAGATATCTGCTATGTATTAGACATGAAGTTTGGTGATGGGACGGAACCTAAAGGTAAGAACCTTGGACTTAGATTCGCAAACTTTTAGCTCCTGTTTTCCCAAATATTAAATTCTGTGTTTGTGTTCAGTAATCTCACAGACCTTCAGAGGCATTCAGGTCTCCATGATTCCACGATGCCTGAGGCTTGGAGAAGGAAGAAATAAGAGGGAATGGGTTTAAGAAGAGTGAATGTGAAACAACTAGTTGCACAGGATGCAGAGTGTCATCGATAATTCGCTTAGCTGGCCTAGTTTATTCTGATTGAAAAATACTCATCTTGGTCCCCCCACCCCTACGCCGGCTTTTTCGTTAATTGTAACCTGGAGAAAAAAATAAAAAGGGAAGTCCAAGAACTAGATTAGGGATAGAATTTTTAGAGCAGAAAGAAAACTAGCAGAATCAACTTTAATATTCTCATGTTACAGATAAGGAAGCTATTTTAATTCTCTGCTAATGGTTTGTTCTATTTGGTGACTTGAGTAGGAACACAGCTTAGAGACCAAACCTGCTTTTATCTCTTTCTTCCTTAATGTGCTACCTGAACCCAGTTTTTCTTTATTTCACTGAACCGACCTGACTAAGCCATGTTTTGGCCATAGGGAAAAGAATAGTTTACAATGTGTAAGTGTAGATTTCAAGATGGTGGCAGAGTGGGTAGAAGCTACACTCACCTTCTCCCAGGATCAAACTGGAATTACAGCTAAATTAAAGAACACCCATTCTGAAAAAACAACTGAAGACTAGCCAAAGAGGAGTTTTATAACCAAGGATGTAGAGAAGAAGCCAAATCAAGGTTGGTAGGCAGAGTGGAGACGTGAAAAGGGCTGGCCCCGCTACCGCAGGTGGAGGCTGAGATTCTGGAGGAATATCTCAACTGCAGGGTGGTTCCTCCTGAGAAGTGTGGCGCCTAAACCCCAAGTTGGGTTCCCCAGCCCAGAACACCAGAGCTGGAGAGAGGTGCCCACGTAACATCTGGCTGTGAAAAGCAGTGGGGTTTCTGTTTGCCAGGGAGAGATGGAGTCTACTGGAGACATAGGCACCCTCTTAAAATGCCAAATTTCTAGAACATACAGTCTTCCAAAACTGAATCACTGAGAATCAGAAAATCTGAATAGACCAATTATAACTAATGAAATTGAAAAACTCCCATTAATCAAAAGACGTGGACCAGATGGCTTCACAGGCAAATTTTACTCATCATTCAAAGAAGAACTAACAGCTATCCTTTTCAAAGTGTTCCAGAAAATTCAAGATGAAGGAAGACTCCCAAACTCATTTTATGAGACCAGCATTATCCTAATTGTAAAATCAGATAAAGACACTACAAAGAAAGAAAATTACAGGCCAGTACCCTTGATGAACATAGATGCGAAAGTCCTCATCAAAATATTAGTAAACAGGATTCAACAATAGGTTAAAAAAGTCAGACACCATGATCAAGTGGGATTTTTTCTTGGAATTCAAGGTTGGTATGATATCCACAAATCAGTAAATATGGTAAACCACAAAGACCACATGATCATATTAGTAGATGCAAAAAAGTGTTTGATAAAATCCAGCACCCATTTATGATAAAAACTTCCAGCAAAGTGGGAATAGAGGGAACATATGTCAACATAATAAAGGCCACATATGACAGACTCAGAGCCATTGTCGTACTCAGTGGGCAAAAACTACAATTGTTTTCTGTAAGATCAGTAATAAGACAGGGATATTTACTTTCACTGCTCTTATTTAACATAATGTTGGAAGTCCTAGCCACAACAGTGAGACAAGAAGAATAAATAAGAGGCATCCAAATTGGAAAGGAAGAAGTAAAGCTGCCATTGTTTGCAGGTGACATGATACTGTATATAGAGAACCCTAAAGATTCCACCAACAGACTACTAGAACTGTAGTGCTTTATGGTGAGGTGTGCATAATGTAGAGCTCATGGTTTTTATTGTTGAGTTTACAGACTACTTGTGGGGTATAAGATATGCTTTGTGAAGCATCCATGTCCTCTTCCCTCCTTTCTTAGTGTAGATTTGGTGGTTTGTCATAGCTTTTCCATAATAAACACACTTTAATTTCCTTGTCCCTGTACTTTTTTGTTTTACTCACTTGGCAATATTTAACACCGATTAAATCCAACTTGGCCACCAACTTGTTTGTTGTACTTCAGAGCTGAATATGGGTGGAGAAAAATGGAGATAACTTTGCTGACTGGTCTTATTTTAAGCATATAATCTCAATTTCAAATACACACTCAATACTGCCAATATCCCTACAATTCCCTTGTATGTTCATCTTGAATATCACTATTTCAAACCTTTTCCTCTTTCCTTAAATCTCCAATTTAAACTCCCCTATTCCTCACTTCCTTTACTTCATTCTTTTAGACCTTGTCTTTATTGTGAAAATTCACTAGCCTACCTGTATCTGTAGTTACTCCACTACTTATATTAAAACGGATAAAGCATCTCATTCCTGGCAAAATCCAGTTTCCATACTTATGCCCTGGATTTCTTTTCCTCTTGTCTTCTGAAACTATTGCTCCTACATTTACTGTTTCTCTCCTACGTCATCACTTTCTTCCTCTGTGCTGGATCATTTACATTAGCACTCCCATGTGCCGTACTGTGTCCATCTTGAACTGTTCTTTGATGTCACGTGTACCTTCTTCAGCTGCTGAACTGAATTTTTGCTTCCCTGGACAGCAGAAGTTTAAAGAGTTGTTGGTAATCTATTTCCTCATCTTCTGTTCTTGCCTCAGTACATTCCTCCCCTATAGG